GTAAGGATTATAAATTAAAATACTCTATAACTATAATATGATGATATCATATACCACATTTAAAATTATAATAAGTGACCTAGGGCTACGCCAGTTATATGCACATACATATTTTGTATTTGGCCACAACTACCTATTTGATGTATCCGACCGTAAGTTACTATGAAATTTGTTATTGTATTATAACTAAGCTTATTTTAATAGACTTAGTAAATACACTTATTCCCATAAAATCTTCTTGACCTCGAATTAAAAAACCGGTTCCGATAGTAAGGTTTACTACAATGACAGTGCAGATGGTGGCTAGAAGTCGAGCAATAGGCCATCAGAGCCATTAACCTTTAAAAGATTCGTATTTTATGAAACCTGATCAGAAAGGGACATTAAGAGTAAAATCGATCATATGAAGCCATTCGTATGATGATACGATTACGACATATCACGCTAAGAACATCTTGTGCCGCACCCATATGTAGTTTACATAAAGTTACAAGCTGTGGCTAGGTTTCTTATGTATTTCGCCATGAACTTTTTAAATATAGGTTACGCATGGATAAAAAATGGCCAAAGTATGAAAACTTTGCTTAAGTTATTTCTCAATACGTAGATAACATGGCGGCACACACAAAAATTATTAATTATAAAAACAAATTCCTATAATAATGTGTTTTGTTATCCACTTATATAAGAAGAGGAAATAGAATGTAGTAGAAGTTGAATAATGATTTGAACGTAGGTTGTACTGATATCACTTCATCCTGTCCAAACCTATCCTCTACAATATAATTACTTGCAAATTCTTTGTCTGCCTTAACTCTCTACAAGCGAATATAGAAAATTCGGAATCAACGTATCCTGCTGAACCACTAAAATTGGACAATAATATCTCCAGGGGATATATAAATAAATCTAAATCAACTTAATTCATTAGATATTAATATATTTTATTTAGACATATTTAGACATAAACATGTATAAAGTATATTCTGATTTTCAGTTAATGATTTTGCTCACATTTGCAATATCTCATCCTATTATTAATTAGTTTTAACACAAATAGGTTTAGATTTAACCTAAGAGAACCTTGTAAAATATTTAATAAGTCACATAAAAAGTTTCAGAAATCGTTTATATCTTTGATCAAGCAATAATTATGTTTATTAAAGACCTGCCAATAAGTAAATTAGCTATAATTAAAATGTAACCTGTTATTAGGAAAGTTAAATGCAGTTAATCTGTTTAATATGCTTCAGCGTAGTATGAACAAACCTACCTATGCAAAGTATTTATCACGATTTGACTGTGCACTTTATGTAAAACGAAAGGTCTATATATGTATATCTTAGTCGTATTATTAGCATCATCTTGATCAGTGCATGTTAATACGTCCAAAATATTAAATGATATTGTACTCTACTCATTAAAAAAGGAAGCGAAATTGTAATGTGAAACGTTAATACTTTAAAATTAAAAGACAAAATTAAAATGCTGACACTATAATGTGTGAACGTACATGAAATGAAAGTCTTTATTAATATGTATAAACACTAACATTAGGCACCTACATGGTAAATACTAAGTAGTAAAACACACGCTATACGCTTAGATGAAAAATAGACAATTTAATACAGCAGAATAAAGTATGGTGTATAAATAAGGGTAGGTACAAACTGGAAAATACATCAGCATAAACCAAGCAAACCCACGCGAAACATTATAGTGTAAGTATAAAATAATATATAATAATATTATATATTAGTCGAAATGCTAAGGTCGATATCGAATGGACCGCATAGCCTCACGATGGTGCTCATCGAGAAGCGAAGATCATTCTATAGCAATAATATACCTGACTACCTATGCCTTTGTTTAACAAATAGCTATCAATTATTTAGCTTCAATATAGCCAATCTTAATCATCGTATATTTATTACAAAATATCACAATGAAGCACCCTATTAATATAAATATTTAATGCCGCTTTTTGCTATGATTACCATCAATCTTTTATATTAGACCTTTAGTTTAGTAATCAGTCAGGTTGGGCATTTGACATTGATCGGAATCAACTTAAACTAAACAAATACAAATTTAATTCTTAAGCAAAACTCAGCCAGATGAGCTGCAAGATGATAAAAATAAACCTTATTTGCTATGAATAATGCCATTATTCTTATTCTTTCTCTCTTTATTCTTTATTGGACACATTAATATGTCCAATAAAGAATATGCGTTTGCTGAAGCACTAAATCAATTTAAAAATATTTGAATAAATAATACAATATATAATTTATAAAAAAAAAAACAAATATCCCACTATTAACTCTCGTAGTTCAATTCATTAGCAAATCAATCGCCTCGAATCTGTTAAACATGGGTTGTCTATTGCATTGTGTAATTTATTACAATATAGGTTAACAGCGCATCGGGCACCTGCGTGGGCAGGCATACTGTTTGAAACTACCGTCAACTATAAAAAGCAAGGCCGTTCTAACAAGAGTGACATTATAATCGGTTCCCTGACAATTTATTACCTCATTAGCACCTAAATTTTGGCTACCAAATTATAAGGCTCGGATTCAAATATAGAACCTCAATGGCAGTCATTTTAATAATATATCGTTAATTAAATAAATACAGTAGAATAATTGAGAGAATTTTCAATTTAAATTAAATTCTCTGAACATTCCTAATTATGTGTAAATATACATCTAAACCTTTACAACCAAGCCAGGCAGGCAGTCATTTAATGATATCAAAATTTAAGGTTACTGAACAAAACTTCTTCAAAAATACATTAAATGCCTTGGATTTGCGGTAGAGCTCAATTAATTTTTTTTCGAACTCTTTTTGATTTTCATGATAAAGGTGGCGCTGTAGGTTACATCAAGACGGGACCGGAATTATTGCTTCAGAAAATCACATTATTTGTTTTTATTCGATAGTAGTGACGCTCTTTTTTCAGACCCTTTGCCAACCTTATACAACCGTCAAATTGATCGAATCGTTAAATTGACCTATTTGAGCTAGGGAAATAAAACTACAGCTGTTCTAAGAATACCAGGATATCTCTTAGGTAGTACGACCGCATGGTCTTATAATATAGCCTTCGTCACTTACACCATAAGTATATCATACCAATTAAGATTACATTGGAATATTTTGCCTAAACTCACAATCTCCATATTATATTCTTTCCATCTCATAATTACGTTCATATCAAAATGTTTTTTCCGTCAGAAGGGTGATTGTTAAGAATTTTGAGATACTGCATAAACTGGAATTTTATTTATGTCCAAGACCATTTTTGCGTTGCATTCATGAGTCACCGCCACGTCACCCCTACTCAAACAGGGATTAAATTGGTTTAAAAACTACTGGTACAAAACTGATTGTATAAAATGAAGGGATTACACATAGAGTTATAGTGTCGCACATTACACTGTTCTTACTATGCAATATGTTTGCCAATGACATTTGGAAGGAAGGTAAAGGTTTTAACCTCAGTTAACGTTACAACCACGTAAGCACGTATTAAGACTTAAGAGTGTTTATCTGTTATTAACATAAGGGATAATCATATAGGATTTCATTAGGTAGAAGTCAATGCATTAATTTAAATTTTAGAACAAACCGTATTGCTACCTTGAGTAATGTAGAGTTAAAATATTATTTTTTGAATTATTAATTTAAGTTCCATGTATTGTTTGATTAAATAAGCTAATTCATTTTAAGTCATAAGCTGTAAATGTTGAAGACAAATCAATCTGACTGCACGGATGGCGTAGTGGTTTAAGCGGTCGCCACGCCGCTTCCTACTACGCCGAGTGTTGCGGGTTCAAACCCCACATGGGACGACACTTTGTGTGATCCACAAATTGTTGTTCTGAGTCTGGGTGTTCTTTGTGTCCGTTTCATGTATGTTTGTAAAGTCCCCCGCGTCACAGGATTTATTCCTAATGCGGGAGTTGTCTTTTTAAAAAAAAAAAAAAAAAAAAAAAAAAATACCGTAGAAAATGAGTTATGGTTTTGAGATCACAGATTCCCGAACAAATTTATAACGTATTCTAAATTACTCAAGGATTAATATTAAAGTACATAGTACGATGCCTTTTTAACCAACTTCAGAAAGGAGTTGTTTTCAACTCGTATGTATTTTTCTTTTATATTTATGTTTTTTACCTCAGTAATGTATGAAACGATTTTTTTAATTTAAGAGAAAAGAAAGATTAAACATTACACATTACGCGTAAAATGAAGAATTAATCTGACGAAGGCGCTCTATTATATACGTTTTTTTAAATTGTTTGTATGAATTCGCAAACAAATTGTGCGTGCGTGAAACGAAAATTTTATAGACAGGCATAATTAATTACTATTACACGCTAAATCTAAGCACCTAGTCAGTAATTATATTGTTTTTCCATGAAACGGCTTCATAAGGAAGTTACAAATATTAAGAGTAAAGACTGCTGGTAAATAACGTAGTTAATACCACTTTAACTATCCTAAATAATATGAGGAATAATGGGCATTTATTATAGTATTCCCACTAGTTGATGAATTTAAGGTATCATAACTTCAAGCACTACTACTTAACCCGCTCATTTTAACCCTGGCTGCTTTGTAATCACAGCTATAGATTTCATATTCAGATTTAAAACATATACCTAACTGTGATAACTATTATGATTTGGCAACTACAATAATTTTGTCATATATATAATAACTTTACTTATAAAAACTTGTTTTTTTTATTTTAACACAGAACCATTTATCAAAAGTTGAAGTTGATCCATTATTATGGTATTAAATGAAGCAATTCCCAATTATGGCAATTATTCATATAAATCATTTATTTACAAGTAAAATGTTTTTAAAGATATATCACGTTTATTTCATATTATACATATACGAGAACATAATACTATTCAGTTTTACCTAATCATACAACATAGGTATAAAGTTTATTTCGATGAGTTCATTTGTCGTTGAGCTTTTTACTTTTGGCCGTACTTTCTGGCGATGTAGTCGAGGGCACGAGCGATTTGAGCTGGCACTGGAGGGGAAGTGGGGATAGCATCTCCCTGTGAATTGAAAAAAAAAACATTATTTATTTAATTCTTTTTGCACAAACCACAATTAATTGTAAAATGACGGACTTAATTCCACAGGCATTTTCTCCCAGTCTACCTTTGGTGGTAGGGAAATGTCTGAGTAGGTGCACTAGAAATTAAGTTTTATATGTAACGAGATAATAATAATTAAGGATATGGACAGAAACAGTGTGACAGATATACGTATGTATGTATATCTGCCTGTGTATACATATGATACACTATATAAAACTTTCTGCTAGTGTCGGGAATTCGAGCTCGTACTTTCGTCTTATATGAAAGGGGGCTGGGTGATATCCTGAGTTTTCATTATTCTGGGTGAGTTTCATTATTCTGGTGATTATTCGTCGGTAAATGTGCTTACTGACTAAGATTAAAAATAGAGCAAAAAGTAAAAGACTCGAAATGTGATTCAACTTTAAGACACTTTCGAATAATCATCCGACCATTAAACATATATGAAAATAATAATGTTTTCGCTTGTTAACAGTCTAGAAATCTAGACTGTTAACTTTAATCTTAATTAATAATCTTTGAGATTGTTATGTACTTACAGTAGGTTGATATCCATTCTCATCAGCGACATAGGCGATGGAGATGGGCACGCCTTCGGGAGAAGTCCAAGAGAAAGAACCCTGGGCGACTACTGGAACTACAGGGGGGTTACCACCAAAGTTACGCGGTACGCCCTGTTCCTGGGCAGCAATACCGTTACTAGTCTCGAAGCTATTAAGAAACAATACAGAAATTTTATTAATTTTCGAGACTGTTAGTAAACGGTATCATAAATTACTATTTTTATGACTTACAAATAGTTGAAGCTACCATCAGGTTCATTTTCATTACCGAACTTCAGGGTCTCAGCATTGTAGTCGTTGGATAGAACCGGAGCACGGGTACTGGCGTAGTAGGGAGCAGCGGAACTAGCGTAGAAAGGAGCAGGAGTACTGCTAGGGAACCCAGAAGGTGCAATGGTTACACTAGGGGATGATGGGCGGTAACGGAAAGGAGCAGGGGTAGAGAAGGGCTTATAGCGATTTAGGTTACGGTTGAACGGGTTGAATTGACCACTGTTGAACTGGGCGCTAGCGGCAGCCACAAACGCCAAAAGTACCACCTGTAGTCACAAAAAGGTAAATCACTGAATGTCACATTTTCACTATATTTCACATTTTTATTTTATTCATCGAATTTTCAAATTTACTTACAGCCGATTTCATTTTGATATTTTAAGATTGCCTAGCCAGCGATGAACTAGTTTGAATGATGCGGGTAAAAAATCCGCGCAGGCTTATATATCACTCAACAAACCACCCACTTAAGATGTCGAACTTGCAATAACATTTAAATAATTTTACGCGAGACTAGATACTGTTTTAAAATAACACCTGGGCTATCCATCCTGCTCGTCATAAAGATTCAAAAGGTTATCATAAGATTTAGGGGCCATTAAACACATTGGGTATTGAAATGATTGATATTGAACGTACGTATGAAGCTTCATAATTCAAATCTAATGATTTTGTTATTTCTTTTTAGTCGGAAATGACAGTGATTATATGCAATTCAAAGTTTTGGAGTGGTATTAGCTTGATCTTAGTCACGTTGATATTAAATTTACATGAATATTATTATTGTGAGTGAATGGGTAAATGTGCAATGATTATATTATATATAATTCAAAGCTTTGGTGTGACATTAGCTAGAACTTACCCACGTTGATTTAAATTAGTTTGAATATTAATTTGGACGATTATAGAGTTAATGAAAACCATAAAATCCTTAAAGAATCACAGGTTTTTAGTCAATTATCTGCATTAAAATGTGTTTATTTCTTCAGATACTATTTCGCAACTTTTGCTCCAATAAGATTAATGTCATTTATAAAATTGTTATTTCGAAGTCATGAATTTATATGGGAATTTAAAAGTATACTATCATTAATTGAAATAACAATTGAGCAATCAATGATGCAGAGCAACCTAGATATTTTGAATACATCAATCTACATAGGACCAAGATATATCTTCCAAAATATACAATGTAATGTGACAGTTTTAAGTGCAAATGTTACGTATCGATTTTATATAACTTTTCCAAAACCGTTTCAGTATCTCTACAAAGTTTTTGAATACTATCTCATATATCAATGATTAACGAAAAATTGTAGATCCTATTTGTGGACCTTTCTTTGTATTTTAAAATACCCTCGGATACAGTAACAGTAGTCGGGGAACCAGGTGTAACCTAGAATGAAAATCCCCTGTACCCCGATGGACTCCGGGCCGTCTACGTCTGGTCCCCTCGTGTGTGAGGAACACAGTGTCCATTTTCTTCGGAACGCGTTGCACCGCCTACAGAATTGGACCTGTTATAATTTTATGTTTACTTCATAAGTTCGACACAATATTATTACACTTCGCAAAAAATTTAAAATGGCCCTAAAATATTTAAAAAAAATGCAGGTGTATTGCATAATCCAAAGAATAAATAAGAAGCTCTAAAAGGCGCAAGTCCGGCTGCATATGGAATACTGTTATCATCTCTATGGAGCACCTCAGTACCAGCTTCTCCCTCTGGACCGCATCCAACGGAGAGCGACTCGAATCGTCAATAGCCCAAACATCTTAGATCAGGTCGATCCCTTGGCGTTACGTAGAGATGTGGCTCATCCTCATTACCTGGAAAGTTGGCGCTCCACTACTGTGCGCTTTTCGAGACTCTTTTTGCCCCGCACAACCAATCTGTGGAACGGGTTATCGTCTGCGGTATTTTCGGACCGATACGATACCTTCAAGAAAAGAGGGTGCTCCTTCCTAAAAGGCCGGCAATGCGTTTGTGACTCCTGAATTGCAGACGTTCATGGGCGGCGATAATCACTTTCCATCAAGTGACCCGTCTGCTCGTCTGCCAACCCCTAACCCTCATAAAAAAAGATACTCGTCATGTTACTTACATTTAGTATCACTACTCTTAGGGCCGAAATACATTACCGCGTTACGGTACCGCAAAGTTGAAATAGGCGGCGTCGCCCGCCGCAACTCAGTAATTTAGATGTCCGATGCGTTGCACATTCAAGCGTTTTGTCGTCACACTTGTTGACAACAATTTCAGTTTATTCGTAGCACGCTTGGAAACAAGACATTTTAACACAGCAGTAGTAAAATAAATAAAATATCAGATGTTGACACAGAATTGTTGATATTTTTTGGCCAAGGAACGCCAGACGGTATGGAATACCAGTCACAACTCTCCATCAAGATTTATAATCTTATTAGGTTTATGTATTCAGTATCTTCTGTGTCGTCTCTTTATTTTGATGTAATATCTACTCAATAATAAAAGTGCAATACGATTATCACGATCCATGCCAGAGTCACATCTATCAACTCTCACTAATCATAGAAAAATGGTCACTCTACATTACGGCAACAGAACGCTTTATCTCGCGATAACTCAATGCAATGCTAGGCGCTGCGTTGCGTTGCGGCGCGGTGTCGCAATTCGGTTATGTATTTCGGCCCTTAGAGGATAAGCAATACTGAAGAATGTCAAATCACTCTTACATTCCTACGTGAAATCTTTATAAAGCGTAGTTTCATTAGCAAACATATTCAGAAAGAGCCTGACGTTGAAATCCCACACCTCACTGTTTAAAAAGACAGACAGATATATACCTAATCAGTGCTCTGTCCCCTCTGATTTGATCCAAGTCTGTCCCATTTAAAATTCAAAGTTTCTAAGGATCTGCATATCTTTGACCTATGCCTTATGTGGAGGACCACGTGGGGAATAAAACAAAAAAGAACAGGTATGACATAATTTACGTTTGGTTTTCCACTTAGTAATAATTCATTTTTACAAAAGACATATTACCTACCTGACTCTGTTGACCTGCACACGTGGATAGAATTTTAATTATCAGTTTTGTAAATTAAACGAGATACTTAATTATTTAACAATTTATTATTTAAATTACTATCGTGGAATCTTGAGATTAGGAGATGAACTCGAAGATGTAAAAAAGACGACGTTTGATCAAATATTCCGGTTTTTTGTACAGTCCGATTTAAAATGATACTATGTAGTGATTTATGCGATCTTATCAAAAAGATCAATTTTAGCAGTCAAATTAAATATACATAAGATTTTACAATCGGTCTATATTCCGTCACGTTTGTAACGTTGATGAATTTTTAATCTCGTAAATTAGACTATTGATATGCACTTCGAATGTTACTTTACTTAAATGACAATTACAGACTATTATTTTGATAACTGAACAGAAATGTTTAGCGTTAGCCATATTATAGGCCGAACATGTACGAAATACGCTTAACGGTAACCTAGAATTCCTGTCCTGTGACTGCTGTCGACTTTTGTCGTCTCGCCTTACTTACAGTAAAAATATATATTAGTCCCGGGATTGTTTTGGCAATGGAAAGTGGTAACAAAAAGACAGTAAAACATATCAAAATATTTTTTTTATTTATCATTTAGTTTTGTGAAGACAGAATATTTAAGTTTTAAATCTCCAAAAAGGCGGTTAAACAAAATTATACTTTCTTCTTATAAAATAAACAAACTAGTGCCTAGTTTGTTTTGTGTTTCGGTAAATAATTTATGAAACTAACAATAAACTTCAAAAAATCAACTTCTTTAGACTTATTTAGATAAACTATAAAAAAAAACTATATGCTTAAGAGACCAATGTTTATAGATACCTACTCATATTTTTTAATTAAATTGCCCAGAAACTTTATAAATTACACACTTTTACGCATAATTCAGAACCGGTTATTAGCAAAAAGAAATGAAATCAGCTGTGTAGACAAGATGGCTGTCAAAACATCAAATCAAGGCAAGGGCGTTTCATTTTACGCACATTTTTATTGACTTATGTAAAAAATGTATCAATCCCGAAAATCCCGGGATTCATTAAATTTGATCCCGAAAATTTCGTGACTAAAATATGACAGGGATCCCGGGATCACGAGATCCGGGATCCCGGGATCGAATCCTCTATCTGTGGGGCACAGATACAGAGACAACTATATAAAGTGGTAGTGAAGCTTTTTTTTTTTTGAGAGGGCGAACGAGCAGACGGGTCACCTGATGAAAAGTGACTAACGCCGCCCACAAGCGCCTGCAACTCAGGAATCACAAGCGCCAATTATGGCGAGCGTTGGAAGAGAATGCAAGACAGAGCTATTGTAATGTAGCCTGTTATATTGAGGGTCGCACTTATTTTGGTTTTTCTACTTACATTTGTAATATTTTTTTTAATGATTAGTTCTCTTTGTTAGTATTGTTTGAAGTCTGTTCAACTTTAAAAAAAAATATTCAGTTGAAATAAAATAAAATACATTTAAATATAAAATAATGTGTTCTAAAGCCTAGAGATATTAAATGGATGCGATCCAATGATCAGACACTCGTAAAATTATATCGATACAAAACTTAAAATTACTTATCTGGTGATGTAATAATTTTTGGATAGAGATAGTGTAAACGGTATTATAAATTAGTATTTAGGTATTTTCATCTATTCAAAGTTCTCTGGGAAAGAAAAATATAAGTATGGTAAAATTTATACTAAAATTTAATGCTTATTCTTATAATCTTGTGTTAATAAGGAGTGACCAAAAATTAAGTGTTTGAATTCTGGTCGTAAGTAGATTTGTTTAAAACGAGTTTCTAATCTAACTTGTCGAAAATTTCTATCTCACATAATAATAGTCCTTGTTTAACTTTTAAACTTTCGCTTTACCTGTGTAAATAAACTAACTAACGGGATTAACGCGCTTCATCATCGTCAGCATCATTAGCCCTTAACAGTCTACTGCTAGACAAAATGATATGCCTCTCTTTAGAAAGGAGGTTTTGGCCTACTATACCACGCTGGCCGGACGGGTTAGTATACGGGTTTATCGCCATCCAGTAACACCTGAAAAAGCAACAGTCTTTACATTGTTATACTTGTTTAAGTATTTATGTATGAGTAATATTAAAATTACCATACCAAGCCGAAACTATAAAGTTTATGTTATTTAGCAGATCATTAACATTTGATAAATTGATCTGAGCCCATTTTGTATGACCTCGTCAGCTATAGTTCATCTATTTTACATATTAATATAGCGCTTCCGACTTAAAAGACACATAGGATAGGCCTAAAAAAATACTTTTAAAACTGTTTCAAAAGAATTCTTCCTCAAGTTTTAGTCTTAATAAAAAATTACTACTAGAGATTACCTGGTAGTCGAATGAAGACCATAACTCGTTTTAGTTTAAATAATTAACCACCATAACTTGAGCCATATTTTTGTATAGATTTTCTGTACCATGATAGGTCAACATATTCGTATACTGGCAACGTGGAGTCTTCTTTCTTGCAAAATATTTAAAGTCCTCCTAAAAGCACATAATGATTAGATTTGATAGTATGCACTCCCATAAATTTAAGTATAAATTCGGCAATTTAAAAAAAAACCAACCAAACGTATAATTACATTATTTCGTTTATTTCTTATCATATTCGAACACATATTTATAATAAAGTTTACGTTAACAGTTTAATTCATCGTTTGTTTGAAGGAAGCATGACATAACCACATACCACATAGAAATCATTCAATGAAATAAAACACTTCACTGCATTAAATCTAAATAACAAACAAATTAGTTGTATATGCTTTTACTAGACATTTATGAAACCTTCTATTTGGATATCCATCTTGACATTGACTTAGGGAAAAAAAATAGATAAAAAAATATTTATAAAAATATTTAATTTATATAACTTTGATGTACCCAGTGTCACAGTCACAATTAAGACGAATCTAACGACATCTCTCACACCAAAATTTATCATGGCGTTTGACCTACAGTGCATTTTTTTTAGCCACGCCAAAGTAATATGCATACACATCATATTAACTCGAAAAATATAACCCTCTTTTTGGCGTAGTCTGGTAAAAATAAACCATAAAGCATTCTACTAGTTGGGAACGTCGTGGTTCACACGGGGTCATCTACAAGCCGTATATGGCCCGGGTCCGTCGGGGTACCAGGAATTTCCTTCCTAACATAAAGTTCGTTTCTCGGCCGACACCCGAGACGGCGTGTGGTATCCGAGGGGATTTTCGCACAAAAAAAGGCATTTTACCAGTGTTTATAGTTCAAATATTTTTTTTTCTTTAAACAAGAACTTTAACTTTAGATATCCTAATTAGCTTAATACTACGTGACTGTCAAACTTAGACTGCTTTTAATTATTTTTGAATTGTGTCGCTCCATTGCATTAAGCGATTGAAGCATCTCACTAGGATTAAGAATAAGATTAAGATTCTTTTAAATTTGCGATGCTGCAGTGCGAACCCGCAGCTTTGTCTGGAATTAAATCTGAAGCAATTAGTTTTTGTTATAGTATATATAGTGTATAGATATTTCGTAAAGACAGAACAGCTTACTACCGCTTTCTCTCGTTTATGATCCAAGTTCTTTCTATTTTGTTAATTTTTCAACAACCAACAAGAACATACACCTTAAAAGCAGAGATACAATGGCAGTGATATACAACTATTAGTGCTGCCTTGATTACAGGTTGCCACGGAAAGCATAATGAAATAATATAATGAATATTGTATACATATACAATATAATTAACTATGACAAGTTCCCGACGTCCAATTTTAAGATACCGCTACCAAATTTATTAATTTATAACGTATTGCCAAATTAAATAATTGGTCGTAAAGTTCTTGAGAGCATTCCATTACAATGTGGTCGTGCTTGCACCGAGGTGATTGAACCCAGGTCACGGTACGCGAAGTTCAAAAGCCTGGGATCTCTTCATAAAGACAAAAAGTCTGTCAGCTGGCCAATTTCGTTGGAGGATTAAGATATTATTATACGTGTATATAACTTTTAGGCCTCTCCTTAGAGGAGTCCTATGTCCAGCAGTGGATTATTAAAGGCTTTTGATGATGAGAATTCTTAGAAACACTTGTGAAAATGCACGTTATACTCGTAGTAAAAAAATATCTCCGTTTTTTTATTCAGATAAAAAAACTTTATTATTTTACTTTGTTTGACATTAGGCCTTTTCACGCACTGATTTACTGGATCGTGACTAATACGTTGGATGCAATCGAAAACTAGATTTTGTAAAGAGACTTATAGAGATCTTAAGCCCGAATGACCGAGAGTAAACCCAATTTTAACAACCATATGCGGTTGCGACCAAAACCTTTATAAAATATTTTACCTGTTGCACACATGTTATTACATTATAATGACTGTATAATTTCTTCACAATCAACACGTTAAAAATAAACTCAAAAAATTAACAATAACATCAAAAACAATGCTATATAAATAATATCTACATATTTTAAGGCCCAAGGATATTAGGAACTTGAATCTAAATTACATTTGTTGTCACACCTCAATGCCAAAGTCATGTCTTGTCACACATTGATTCAAATTTTCATAAATTAATTTAATATTAATTAATTTACAGCTATTTATATCCAATATTTTTAAATTATAATAATATCTAAATACTATCAAAGTAAATACAGATATTTACTGCGCGAATGGCATCCATCCAATATATGGCATCTGTGAAACTAATAGCTGACATCTAAATCAATCAAATATAATAAAATCCATTGGTCTGCATTTCATTATAACTTTTGTACTACCAAGGTAGTAGTAAAAAAGCATTTATAGTAAATCTAATCTAAGAGGTACCGTTTGATTGATAAATTCGATTTGTCGTAAATTTTAACGATTATTCGTATTCAAGTAAATTTGAAGAGCCGCAACACTACGGTAAACGACCTATCTACGTGACTTTGAAATGAAGTTTGAAAAAAAAACATCTATTATGCATAAATTGCATATTTTGCTTTGTTTCAAAGATTTAGTCATTAAGAATTGTATATCTGGTATACAACAAAGATAGTTCTATTCTATTATATCCTGCGATTAAATAAAAATAGCTACATAACTACATGGTTTTACGGTAAAGGTAATATTGTGTGAGATACGCCTGTACAAAGTTGTTTCATCTTGAAAAGTATGAAACGTCAAACAGTATATCTTAGATTAGAGAGACTATAAGGTTAATTTTAACGAACGTATCTAAATTACCTTTTTCCTCTGCCCTTCATAAGGAATCCTTTATTGTATATATGAGGCAAAAGCATTTTTTGTAGAATGCGCGTAGAACTAATATTGGACACAATATGGAAGCATCCAAAAGAGTTCTGATCACGAACGAGCGTGATATAAACAACACAATAATAAAATGATAAAAAAAATCAAAACTGTTTTATGAAATATTGACTAAATCGCTGGGTTTACCTATATTATATTTACCCTTTTTTTTTTAATAAATAAGAAATAAAATTTCATCCATGAAACCTAGCTTTCCCAAATCACACAGTATATTGACTTGACAATATCTTAAATTTCTCCATAAAATACTAGGGACTAAAACTTGGCTCACACCTTTGTCGCCGGCTAGTCACTACGGGCCTGCAAGCTTCGTTACAATACATTGCGTGTTTTTTTGTCATTTGTAAACAATCTACATAGACGAAGAGGTGATGAATATCTACCTTATACGAAAAACCGAAAATAGATTGATTCGTTTCTAGGGTAGTCTACTAATACTCGCAGTGCATGTAAAATATTAATGTAGGTGTTCAATCTCGTGTTCTCACGCTTACGGCACGGGACTAGTCTTAACTAAGAAGAGTTAGATTGCCTTAGATCTCTTTTTTTTTATGTTGTGTGTTTTTCTTTTTAACACGCTTTTATTAGCTTGGTATGTATGTAACGGAATCTTCCAACCTGCAAAACGTGGGGTGCTTTTCAATATATTTTAAAATATAATAACTTTACTTTTACCAATGTATGTCGATAAAATAATTTTTACTAAAAATAAGGTCTAACACCATTTTTAGTAAACCTGGTTTTAAACTAAAATTTATTTATTTTCTCATTTGATTTCTTATTGTTTTATGTTTCGACATCTAATAATGTACTCATAACCTTGTAAGTTGGCTGTCAATTTATCACCGATATTGAAATTTCGTCATGTGATTTGTTTCGTAACTAAGTAATTCGTTTTTTTTAATTATGTTCAGAATAATTACTACACAAATAGTTTAGGTTATGTTTGTTATGTTGTTGACATAGTGTAAAAGTGTACTTTTACACCACTTTATTTTATAGAATAATCTAGTTTTACATTTTACTTAGTAAAGACAGATGAAGACGCTTTAAAATTTCTGTCATTTTTGGATCATTCTATCTCAATCAATCTTTTTAATAAAAAATTAAAACAGGAGTATCGTAATTTAAAAAATGTAAATTATAATTCCAACATGTCATTTATATGAAAGTAGTTTAGGAACAATCCTGGTCATTGATTGTTTTACTTCTTCTTCTGTAGCTTGGTGAGGTATTCAACAGCCCTAGCAATATATGCAGGGATCGGAGGAGAAGTCGGTATGGCATCACCCTGTAATCAAAAAACCTTGCTTAATTCACATACGATATGAGCGAACTCTCCAAGATATTTCGTAAAATTACAATTTCTTTTCTTAAATAAGTTCCACAACTAATCAACACCTTCAATTTTTTTAACTAAAAATCTTCTTACGCTCCTTTAAACAAAAAATCTATTAGCGGGAATCTATTATCCATCAAGTTTGTCAAATGGGTAAACTTATAAACTGACTTGGATTTAATATGTATCATTATAATTTTTAACATATTAAATTATAAATAAAATTACTTTGACTTTTTAAACTTACAAATGCTCGATATCCATTTTCATCAGCTTCGTAGGAGATGGAAACTGGCTTGCCGTCAGGGGAACTCCAAGCAAAACCTCCCTGAATTACAACGGGGATAATGGGAGGATTTCCACCGAAGTCCCGAGGAGTACCTTGGGCCTGAGCAGAAATGCCATTGTCGGTTTCCAACCTGTAAATTCACATTTTAAAAGCTTGTGTTAACAAGGAAGGGTAATTATTGTTTTATAAGAAAATATTTTAAAATAATCCCAATTATTCGATAAATTTAACAAAACTTACACATAAGAAAAGCTGCCATCAGGTCCAATTTCGTTGTCATAACGAAGAATTTTGGCGTTTCTTTCGTCGCTAGCAACTCGCGGGGCAGCTGCTTGAGGCCTACCCAACTGAGCTGATGCAATAGCCAGTAAGGCTGTGAACGCAATCTGAAAACAAAACATTGTCTTAATATTCAGTGCATTTAGTTATTAAAAATATCTTATTTCTTTTTTCCACTTACGAACGATTTCATTATTTTTTTCGAACTGTTTTTTGAGATGACAAAATCCGAATATCTGATACGTTTGTGATGCTTATTGATGCGATTCTTTTAACTTTTATACCCATCCTGAGCATATATTTACGCAAGATGGCATTGATATTATCCCAGTGTTTACATATTATGTATATTAATTACTACAGAATGCAAGCTGCTGCTCTCATCAAAATACATTGAATTAAATCAATTTCCGAATTAGTTTAATAATATTATATAATACATTTAAAAATGTCCTTAATGACGTGTTAAAGACTCAAAGGTAATAAGTCAGTTGATACGTTTTAATAAAATATTTGTATTTGTACCTGAGATTTCTAAAGTAGTTTATTTGTACTAAGTTAAGTTGCAAAAGTTTAGATTTCAATTTAAATTGGCCCAGGGTCGTACTAATTTTAAAAGAACGTTTGTTTTTTATAAATTTTATACATAGAATATTTTAGTCGTGCAAATAAATATGTTGATAAAAATGTAAATATCGGGCATCAATATATTTTAGATTGTTTTTATTTAATTTGTTTTTTCAGACTGGTTTGGGGAAAGGTTAGGATGAAAAAAAATAGGTACGACTTTCCATTGACGACCGTCGACCACCCTTCGTACCCTTCCCGCCTCCCTAATCCCTCCCTTCAGGGATAATCTAATTTCCTTCTGATCCTCATCTAATTTTTAATTTTGAGGAAATTTTCTTTATTTGATGGATTAAAATTAATAATTAGTGTAAAAGAAAAAGTGGACCCCTTGGAGGGGATCGATGGTTTCCCCAGAAGAAATAAGAGGACTGATTCAGAGGGATGTCTGTATCTATTTTGAGAAAGCTGCGCTCCGGCGCTGCGGGAAGAGCAGCCTCTACAGACTTGCGTAAGAAATCGCAGGCACCCGGCGGGTGGATGCTGCTCTCCCTACGCGCCTTTGGCTCTATAAAACACTCTAGGGGTAGGACAGACTCGTACCAGGTGAGTCGGGGTCAATCAGTTCGGTTCTTGACATGTGTTGAACCTAACTTATTTCATTTGTTATCTGCCCTAATAGGTACTGTTAAAATAAAAAATACTTATTAATAATTTATGAATGGCGTGTTCTTTTCTTCTTTCTTCATTTGAAAAGGACAACTCTCGCATTAGGACTATATTCTGTGTCGCGGGGGACTTTACAAACATACATGAAACGAACACAAATAACACCCTGACTCAGAAGAACAATTTGTGGATCACACAAAGTGTCGTCCCATGTGGGGTTTGAACCCACAACACTCGACGTAGTAGGAAGCGGCGTGGCAACCGCTTAAAATACGCCATCCATGCAGTCAAAGTCAACTTTACGTTTCGTCCCACAAGCCGGCAAAAGACGGTAAACATTATACATTTCTATTTTAATAGCTTGTAATGAAAATAAAACTGTAATTTAATATCCATATATAAACTGTTAAATATATGTGTGCATGAAAATTATTGAAATGAGTGCAAAATATAATTATTTGCATAAATTTATCTAAAGGAAAATGTTACCGAACGTATGACAACTTAACCGTAGGTAAAACGAAACGTTCAATTGCGAGAATTCTATATAATCTGTGGTAGGGATTGACATAAATATTGCAAAAATTATTGATATTAATCTATGAAAACACTCAAAAACCACACGTCTCCGTTTGTTGAAATTTTGCAAGTGTGCTTATAATAATGTAAGCTTCTTGTAAAAAACAACCCTAACTCGACGGACGTCAATGGAAAGATAAGCAAAAAAATTTAATAAATAAACTTACGATTTTATTTATACTATAAACTAGTTGCATTAATTTGCTTATTTATGCAATGCATATCGTATACGTATATTTTGGTCTGTATACGAAACGAGATAATATCGTTACCCCCAAAGTATTAAAATAGTCCATGTTTCTAGCAGTTGTGTGAGCGGGCGCGTTTTGTTGGTGAACAAGAACACCACGGACACCGCTCCTTGGTAGTTCACTATTAAACTCCCAGAAAGCTTGAGGGAGACAAACTTTACAATTCTGTTCACCAGTAACCGTGCTACGGTCTTGATGCGGAATTATTGCTACTAAGCCACAGCGTCAAAAGAAAACCGCTATCATTTTTTTACTAACGCTCCGACCGCGAACTACATATGAAAGTCTGGGAGAAAGTTTTTGAGAGAAGAATAAGAGGTAAGAGTGAGATAACACTGATGCGTAAATACAGGACCGTACCTTCTCTTGTATAGCTGAGCGGAGGATCTCGTGAGCGGCAAGTAAAAGTCCCAATAAGTAGTCCGAAAAAGTTTAGTGTCACTTTACAACACCAACGCTAATTGCACAGTTCATATCCACGTAAACAATCTATTCGCAAGAATACTTTGTGCAAAACAAACCGTTGTTGATTATTTCTCCTTACTTATCGCACTGACCAAACGCACTACTGCTGACTACATGCATACAGGAAAAGGCACCTCGGTTTATGATATTTGCAGATTACATTGTATTGGTCGGTGAAGATTGGGTCACCCCAATCTTCACCGACCAATACAATGTAATCTAAATAAATGTGTTTGCCGTTATTCTAGTCTGCTCTAGACCTACCGGTCTAGAGCAGACTGGAATAACGGCAAACACGGCTGGAGAATGTTGCCTTGAAATCAGCAGAATTAAAACTGAGTACATGTACTGCGCGATTAAGGCAGTTTAGCTGGATGGGATAAACAGCGAAAGCAGTCTGCTCCAACGTCAAGTACCTCGGCTCCTTCTTACAACGTGATAGCGAGATCGATCGAACTGTACAGCATCGAATCGATACGGCATGGATGAAGTGGCGGTAAGTACGGGAAACAATTTGTGTACCTAGTTTAGTTTCCCCTTAACACTATATGGATAAATTTAAAAATCTATCATCGGACCTGCCGTCCTGTATGGTTCTCAAAGTTGATCCATTAAGAAAATGGATATGCGAAATGCGAATGCTAAAATGGATATGTGGTGTGACTTTGAATGATAAGGTCAAGAATGAGTATATACGAGTCAGCCTGAAAGTAACGCAACTAACTGAAAAGTTTTGAAGGTTCATCATGTTTAAAGTCATGAAACCAATAAGCAACTGTTCCTAAAGCAGGCACAGACTCCGCAAATGCTGCTTATTAATTTTCTTGAGATTCTTAGAAGGTTGACCCTCATTTATAATCATGGGAAATCATAGCACGAAAATAATCCTGCGAGACGTTCATTGTTGCAAACAAAAGAGGGATAAATTTTATTTACATGTAACAAAATTTAGAAAAATACTACACATTGTGTAATCAAATTAGCCTTCGATTCAAAATAGTTTCAAGAGAAAAGAGACTGTATTTATTCTGTGGCTAACAATTTTCGGAACAACATTGGTATAAACAGACAGACCGATAGGTCAACATAATTATGGATATACTGGAATCATGTGAGTTTTTGACGCCATTTTGGCATGATTTTTATTTTTATAACAGATAGTTTGTGAATGAAAAGAATGCTTTGCACATATTGATATAGAGAATATACATAGACAAATAATTAATATTAAAATTAAAAATTCTATTCATGTGAATATTCTCTTACTATACCTATTAATATGATAACGTATTTAAAACCATTTAATAATTTAATTAGATTTTTATACCATGATGACTTTTTGAGATTTTAATTCCTATTTGTGACCTTCCTATATGTTTTATGTATTTTTTTTTATGTTAGATGGGGCAGACGAGCTAACGGGTCACCTTCCATCAGGTGACCATCGCCGCCCATGAACGTCTGCAACTCAGGAGTCACAAACGCCTTGCGTAGTGTGAAGTTGTTGAAGGTCGTATCGGTCCGGAAATACCGCAAACGATAACCCGTTCCACAGATTGGTTATGCGGGGCAAAAAGTGACAATGGCGGAAAGTTGCGGCTTTTATTAGTCTGGTATATCCTTATTCTAAGTATTTAAAACAAATTCATTCTTCTAAAAAACTTTCATGGCTGTCATACTAACTTTTAGATATTGCTATTCCATGTTGTAATAGAGCAAATCTGGATTTTGTCAATGAGGTAATCAATAGTCACGAATATATATATGCCACCAGATAAAGAGGCAGTCAATTATGTCAAGTTGGGTATGCACTCGAAGTAGGCATTAATTATAAATTGGTCTGAATTTCATCAGACACAATCCTCTGCACCAAACGTCACTTTTACTCAAGTACACAAAGAAAAATTAAACCTCACAAGATTGAAGAATATTCTACCTCACGAAGACAATGGAAGACATGCGCCTCTGAGCAAGTCAGCCTTTGAACACCGTAACTTCAATCTGGTTAAAAAATATTGATCGCGTTCATTCCCTATGTCCTTCCACTCGGTTCCATCGTCAAATCTTTGTCAATGGGTGTAACGTTTAAACGAGAAATAAAGGTTAAAAGAATATTACAGAGTAGAGTAAAGTTTTATAAATCTTGAGCTCGGCCTTTATTATCATGATAATTCTGTTTAAGTATATGTATAATAGTCGCCAATAAATGCCTTTTAATCTATTATACTCTATAGACCAATCCTACAAGAGAAGCTTACTACCCAGGTATAGTTTTAGAGAGTACTTCTTGCAACTCGTCAGCGCTCACCTCCACTGTCTGCTGTGTTGCCCTTACCTTACCTTACCATGTTTGATATGAGCCTAGCAATGCCGCGTTCAAGAAAAGAGCTTACTGAAGCTCTTGGCAATTCCAGGTCTTTAAGCAGGTTGGACACGGCTCTCCACACGCTGGCAGAAAGCCCGGCGTGGGTTGAGCAGAGGCGAGACCTCGTGGCGGCCATCGGAGTGGGAGTTCTCTCGCTCGATAGCCTGATTACGGCTATCGTGCGGAGCGAGAGTGCGTGGAACTCTGCCGTCTCCTTCTGCGAGCAGGTTATGCTTGCGAAGGAGACGGCGGAGCGGGACCGGGAGAGGTTTAGGACTCTCCCGGCCCGCCAGGCCCGGGAACGGGCCAGGTACCGTAGGCGACTCAGGCGCCGGAGGTCGCAGAACGACCTCCGTCCTCCATAAGCGCAGGCCTGGGGGTGACAGGTGAGGCCATCTGTCACCCTAGCAGAAGCAGGCCGGGGTGGCGGCCTTCCAGGGAGCAGAGGGAACATGGGGTTCCCACACGGGGGGGGGGGGGGTCGTCTACCTGTTGTTGTAGATGGCCCGAGGTATGTCGGGGCACCAGGGACTTCCTTTCTAGGGTATACCTGGTTCCCCGGCTATTAGTACCCGAGACGGCGTGCGGTTTTAGTCGGTTCGAGTCCGACATGCCATTGATAGGTAGTATCCGAGGGGATTTCCGCACGGAAAAAATAATAATCTTTAAACAGGTTAAAGGGTGATTTAGCTGGTATACCCCTCGCAACCACTTCCACGGCATACAACGCAACGACATAACTGAAAGATCGTATAAAGTGTGAGCCATTTCAAAGCTAGTGGGTTACAAAATTCTCCTAGAGTTAACAATTCATTCAGCATTCCTAGGTTCATTGCGTGCATCTTGTAGGTCCCGTTTTCATCTTGTTGTAGAAAAGATTTTGTAATCTCTTTGTCGGTCTGTCTTCTAACATTTCCTAATCCAACTCTACTGGACTACCCACCATGAATTTCTTGTGGAATTGGAGCCGCGACTTGAGCTCTGACGAATTTTTGTTTAAATCTTGGATAGATTGTAATTTGCCATTTATTTTTCCTAGCATATTTGAGACTTTTCGCAAGTAATTAGTAATGTTTCAGATATCCAGAGATGCGGGTCATTAACCCTTTTTGGTCTGCAGTAATTATTGTTGCATATAAACTATATTATTTTGAATCGAATACAGGACAAAAATATTTTAGAAATTGTATTGGTAAAGGCTATCGATCTAGTGTCCCCAGGATCTACTACTTCACTTTTCTTAGGAATGAGGACTAAATTAGCCATTCTAAAGGTTGTTGGTATTTCTTTGCTCCGACCAGATCTTGCCGAATATACTTAGAAGGGCTGATGGACATTTTGTATAAACTATATATGGCATACCATCAAGCCCTAGATCTGCTTTTGATTTTTTCTTTCTAATTTCTAATATTAGATCCTTGTTAACCCTTTTATATTTCAAATTTTGTATCATTTACTTGATAGGCAATAATTCCCATTAAAAATTTGCAGTTATAGTTTTGATAGTGTTTTTATGAGTTACCTATATATTATGAAGTTACCCGCATAAAAAGCATATATTTAGACTGTGATAAATAGTTTAAAAAAAACCTATATGATACATGGACGTGATGTTTCTAATTTGACTTGATACGTCCCGTGTATTATATGAATCATTGAACATGTGAAGACCAAAATATTATTGACAGCGTCCATTTCGACAGTTGACTCTTTACAATTTGTTTTTTAGTAGGTAAATCAAAAATAATCAATGGAATTTGACATATTTGGACTTTGCGACAAGAGAGGTTATATGTGGCAGTGATTTTCATACAAACAAGTATAACAATTGTGTATAAGTGGAATTGTACTCGTGCAAAAACATGGGTTCTCGGGCAGAATATACAGAAAGAGAGATACAGCGAGTCTTAGACGAAAATGATTTTAGTGACCGAAGTGATGAATTATATTTATCAAGTTATCAACCTGAGGAGTATGAGGAAACTGAAGAAGAGGAGAATGAAGACACTGTAAGTGATATTGAAAGAGAAGTATTGAGAATAATATCACATAGGTGTCGAGAACAATCATCGAAGCCGAGCGTGAAGTACCTCCAAAGTGAAAATAAAAGTTTTTATGTATTTTCTCATTCATGTTCATATGTGTAATATATATATATTTTGGAAAAATAAACGAGCAAATGTTTCACTTTTGTTTTATTTCAATAAATTTTGGTAGAAAACCTAAATCAATGACAACAAAACTACGAGAAATAATCGCCATGGGTTTTTCTTTTTTTTTAACTAGACAAAGTACCCAATACGTCTCTATACTAACAATTGAATTTGTATTGCTGCGTTCACTCAAAAAAAGCATTTAAAATCACCTACGAATTTTGCTCATTTATGATGCATTGACATGGTAAAGATCGTACAAAAATTGCATCATGTATCATTATATGATTCATGGGACAGGGAACCTATTAATATTAATTATGTTAATTAATACAACTTATATATTATATTAATATAACTTAATACATTGACCTCTAGTGCCATACTCGTATAAGGCCGCTTATAATTTATTTAGGTTATCTCTAGATTAAAATGTCAAATTTTGTTTATAAATAATTTAAAAAAAAATGCACACCTGTTCCTTGGCTACGAGCTTTTAAACAGGCATAACGGTTTTAAGTACCCAGGTTTTTGGATTTAATATTTTTTCCCGAAATACCTTCGCTTTATATAACTCTTATTTTAACATTCGCCATTGCTCTTTGCACAAAATACCTATGACGTCAGGTTATATCGCGTATCATACATCGCCTTGTTATAAAATTTTGCTATTATGCAACTGTATATCTGATTTTCTTATTTCTCTCAGACTTCCTGGCAACAGAAGCTTTGAGTGATAGAAATGTAACCTTGACCAATTTGAGTTATTGCTTACAGATCTAATAATCTAGATATGTGTTTAAGCTTAGGTGTAGGTGTTTTAAAAGTAAGAAATGCAGAATAGGGAGTAATAAAAGCTATGTTGCCTTCTGCGGAAACCTCCTTTGATTTTTTCAGTTTTTTATATAGTTACAGCTAGATTTCAATAATTTTAAAGTAATTTATGATTCGTTAGGAATAATTTATCGGTTTTTTTCATGAAACCATACATGGTATAAAGTATACTTAAATTGCTATTATCAACAGCCTTTAACAATCCACTGCTGGACATAAGCCTCTCCTAAGAAAGGAGGTTTTGGCCTATTATACCACGCCGGCCAGACGGATTGGTATAGGGTTTGTGTCAAGTTTTCCTTCTCTCTGCAGTGCTGTTGTTCTGCGTAGTTTTTTCCCTTAGTCGGCTCTTACGACACCCACGGGATGAATAGGGGTGGTGACACTGTATTCTTAATCCGTCACCACACGGACCTAAATTTACTATATTTACTACTATATTAAATAAATTACTATATTTATAAAAAATTAAAGATAAAAATTGTCATATACATTTAATCATGGTGACTTTTACTAGATTTAAATTGATGAATCATCATAATTAAGCCGTTATGCTGTGTGTATGAAAATGGTTTAGTTGTTCCACGTTATCGATTGATTTACTTCTTCTTCTGCAGTTTAGCCACGTAGTCAATAGCCTTAGCAATAAGAGCAGGGATTGGTGGAGGTGTGGGGATAGCATCACCCTGTAATCACAAAACATTATTAACTTCGTCCATGATGAACTCTTAAACATGTATTATCCTTCTATTTTATCCTTATTGTAAAATAAGCAGATTTAAGCTATGCTTATTATTAAATTAATTAAATTATAACTGAAGATGAAGGGATTCGAGCCACTTCATAAAAATACAATTTCTATATCGAAAACCATTTAGTATTTTTAATTAAAACTCCTCTGTGTAGAGCTTTAAGTCATAATGAGTCAACTTTGTCTGGACAACATATTATATATGTCAAGTGCTTAATAATGTATCAAATTATATTTGATACTTATCACTGGACTTACTACGATTAAATTATAATATCACTTAGACTTTTTAACTTACAGATGGCCGATATCCATTTTCATCAGCTTCGTAGGAGATGGCAACTGACTTGCCGTCAGGGGAATTCCAAGCAAAAGCACCCTGAATTACAACGGGAATGATAGGGGGGTTGCCACCGAAGTCACGAGGAGTACCTTGAGCTTGAGCGGAAATGCCATTGTTTGTTTCTACTCTGTAATTAAAACAAAACATATTTTGAAACCAAGCATTAGCTAAGGATTTTACGTATTTCTTTCCATGAATGCAGTACTAAGCTTAGAATCTTTCTAGATTTGAAATACCTGGTTGATTTACAAATACAAAATAAATAACCTAAAACTATATCTGAATTATTCTACATGTTAAACAAAACTTACACGTAGGCGAAGCTGCCATCAGGTCCTATGTCATTGTCATATCGAAGAATTTGGGCGTCTTTGTCATCGCTAGCAACTCGTGGGGCAGCTTGAGGTTTACCCAACTGAGCTGAAGCAACAGCCAATAAGGCTGTAAAGGCAATCTAAAAACAAAACAAGGAGTTAATATTAAATCTATTCAATTACTAAAAATGTATGATATGATTTGTTCACTTACGAACGATTTCATATTCGAAAAGTTTTATCTGTCAAATAATTCTTTATAAGATGACAAAATCTAGAGATCTGATATGTTTGTGATACTTATTCGTGCGATTTTTTAACTTTTATACCAATCCGGAACATTTTTGTTCACAAGATGACATTGATATTGTCCCAATGTTTGCATATTATGTGCATTTATTACTACAGAATGCAAGCTGATGCCGCTCTTATCAGGAGACATTGAATTAAAGCATTATATTTATGATTTTTTTATGAAATTCTACGATTTATTTTTATGCTATATGTTAAAGAGTTACTAAATGTGTTTAAAGACGTATAGGTAACAAGCCGATTGTTACATTTAAATAAAACATTTTAAACTAAATTTACACCAAGTTTGTTTTAAATGGAGTTTGTTGAATTTATGAACACCCAGTTTAAACAACATCCAAAGTTTAATAATATTTTTTGCTGTGTCATGAAATACTAATTAAACATAGTTAAACTAATAAATTTTATAGCATGTAATTCTTGTGAGGGTCAAAATCTTCACCGGCTGTAAAGGTATAAAGGCATCAGCCAGTTCGAGTTAAAGAACTCCAAATAATCCTGACCTATGCGAGCTGTTGCTTACCGTTACCACAATCAATGTATTCAAGCAATATCCCCTTTCTTCCCTTCCTACTTAGTTTGCCCTTTCAATGTACTCATAGTTTTTTTATCTCTTATTCTTGTGAAGTTATAGAAAAATTCTTGAAATTTCGCAGACCATTGTATGTAACTTTCATTGACTTCAAAAAAGCCTTTGACAGTATTCCACATGAAAGTATTTGGGCATTAAAATATCAAAATATAATTTATAATATATAAACATATAATACCAAGCTTACCATGGTCTAAGCGAGGCATTAACGTGGACGGACAGTTTCTAAGCCACCAGAGATTCGACGACGATATCATCCTTTTCGCAATTCACCCACAACAATTAAACACTATGATAAACAATTTACTCGAAGTCAGTATCAATGTCGCTCTGGAAAGAACCTAAACAAAACAAAAGCTATGTCTAATCACATCATAGCACCCGTCTTGGTAAAAAATATCCCTCTTGAATGTGCACAAAACTATATAAATCTAGGCAAACAAATCTCATTCAACAAAGAACGAAATATTGAAGAAGTGGACAAAAGAATAGCGATCACCTGCAAAAATTACTGGAATCACAAGGAAATTTTCAAATCGCAGTCCTACAAAAAATAGTCATATATTCTGAATTGCTGTCATGTGTGAGACATATACATATGGCTCCTAAGCTTGGTTTCTTGATGGCAAAACCAGAAATAAAATCCAGACGACTCAAAGAGGAATGGAGAGACGTTACCCAAGTATAAAGTTAAGAGATAAAATCAGGAACACAGCCATTCGCAAGAGGACAAAATGGTCTAGCCATTTTGTTACTCTCTTTGTCCATCTAGCCACGAGGCACAAAAAATAGAGGCAGACCTAGCGCGAGATGGGTGGACGAAGTAAAGGAGATGGCAGGTTGTTATTGGCTAATAATAGCTAACAACAAAGAAAAATGTCATACCTTGGAGGAGATTTTACCCACAGGGTATGTCCTCACAAACATGTCCTCACATATCACATAACTATATATTTATACCTAACTTTTTTAAACTTTATCTTGTTACTTGTACGGAATCAAATAAAGCTTTTTTATTATTATTCTTGTGAAATTAGATGAATGTGAAGTGTGAAATGTGAGGATATGAAATCGCACTGTCGAAGTCTCCTCGGAGTATCGTTACTCGATGAGACTTTGTTTTATTGTCGATGTTTGATGAGTCATCTGTCTATGCTCCGTTGTCATGCCAATGCCAGTAGTGAGTAGTTCAAGTGAGTCGGCACTGAGTGCCACTAGTGTCAATGAGTCGGGGTTGAAGTCCGCTGATTCCAGTGAGTCGGGATTGCATGCGGCGTGCGGTGCTGCGTTGAAGCCCCAGTGAGTCGGGGCGGTTGTTGCATAGTGTCTGGCTGCTGCTTTGACCCGCTTGTGGGAAGCCCCTTGGATGTGCTAATCTAAGTATCACTACAAGGTAGTCCGATCGTTACACCAGTCGGCACGCAGAAACCGGGTGGGAATTGGCTCTTCACTTCTTGGTTGCCAATGTAGTAAAACTGTTCAGATACAATTTTATTACTCTCCTTTGTTAGTAAATTATGTTAGTAATTATAGTCTTATATTAATCGTGTGTGAACTAACATCTTAGACATCGGGCATCTAACACATAACGCCATCTAGCTTCAAACTAAGCAGAGCTTGAATGAAAGCTAGATTGACTGATAGAATACTCATAAACAATTTTTTTTAAATACATACATATTATACATAAAAAACATAATAAATAAAGTAACGATTTGAAGTACTGTTATTGAGCTAACATACATTGTTGTAACAAAGCAATGTGCGTAAAGCGCGTGTACTGTGACGCTGCTGGGGTCGGATCCGAGTGAGTGACCTCTCGGATCCGACCCCAGAATCGGATATACAGGTGATCCGAGTGTCTTAACCTCTTCCAGGACACGCCAGATCCTTACTCGTGGGGCGAGGGCAGGGGTAGCGAACGAAAGGTCCACTATCAACCCCCCTACACCTTTGTTCCTTGTGTCCGTCCTGGGGGAACCCAAAGCAATAGACTTTGCGTTGCAGTCGCCCCGCACAAGGACGTATCCATATACTATTTGCCGCATCGCCGAAAGTAAACCAGCCATTAGTAGGATAATAAATATACAAATACCAATTAGTCTAGCAGGATGCTGATTTTATCATTACAAATAAATATTACGACTGATTCAAGACCATACACTACAACTTCAATAAAATTTATGTGGTGAAGCTAGACGGAAAAAAATAATGATTTCCGCTGATGGCTATGGCAATAGCAGCAGGAAAACAAAAGGTTAGCTTCTCAGCATTGAGAACTTAAAAAACTCGTTTTGCAAGTTTATATTATATTTAATTAAATGTTTGCCGTAAAGAAATACTAAGTATGCCAAATGATATCGATTATTCTTATCAGTAAATTTTACTATTAGTTTGGTTTCTAAAAATTAAGTTTTAGATCCAAGTGCAATGTAACAACATTGTTTTTTTTATTCTAGTCCAGAGCATCCCTACCCCCCGTCTTTTAGACTATTGGTTGTGGGCTCCAATTTCCGCATTTAGACTCGAGGGTGGTCCTTTATGCGTCTGAAGAGGTTGGCTAGGTGAGCCAAATACAGCTCCTTCCAGAAGCAGTAGAAATATTTTAATATGTAATAATAGTAAAAATATATATGAATCTACTTTTATTTTATCACAACATGTGATTACATTTTAGCGCACAAAGCCGTGGGCAAAAGCTAGTTTCTAATAAGAGACTGCTTGATTAAAGAACTGACTACATTTAAATGATGTATTTAAAAGAACATCCGAGTACTGTCATATAGCATGGCCATCTTAAAAGCCTTGGAAATCAATACCACAAACTCTAGTAGTCTTCGAATGCCATCAAGCGTTGGAGCAGCCTGCCACAAAGAATTATGTACTTATTCAATGGAGAAAAGGGCATAGCCACTCACACGGGAACCACCACAGATAATTTAGCAAGATGGGGCTCGGCAACATGGGCTGCGGGCCCAATCATACCACCGCCACTGTCTTCCGGCCGTACGTCTTTGGGTGGCATCGGGCGGCAGGAGCGGAGTGGGCCTATAAATATTGCATTCAAAGATGTCCTGTCCTTAACATAATAATAGTATAATTAATTTCTCCACACTGACACAACATTAGAATAGTATTAGCAGCATCTACGTTGCAACCGTGCGAAGCCAGGGCGGAACGCTAGTCTAACATGTATGTGAGGTACTCGTAATGCACAAAATAATATACGCGTAACAGAATAAACTTCGAAACAGATGCAGTGCAAAATGGCTCAAGTGACAAAACCTCGACAGTGAACACACGTTGTGTATGTAGGCAAAATCAAAACAGCGTAATTCACCGTGTTCTAAAATTCAAGGTTTTTTCGTTTAGGTAATTTGCTTAAAAAAATATGCCTGTTTTGTTGAGGGTTCCAAGCGCCAAAACAATGATTATAAAATTTTGAAACCTAGGGCACACGACGGAGATGGCGGAGATGGCGGCGCCAGAGGCTTCAGAACGACCTCCGTCCTACATAAACGCAGGCCTGGGGGTGACAGGTGAAGCCATCTGTCACCCTAGCAGAAGCAGGCCGGGGTGGCGGCGAGACGCGGTGCCGATCGAGTTCGCCTCCCTTTTGGGAGCACCAAGGGAACATGGGGGTTCCCACACAGGAGGGGGTCATCTACCCGTCGTAGATGGCCCGAGGTACGTCGGGGTACCAGGGATTTCCTTTCTCGGGTACACCTGGTTTCCCGGCTACTGGTACCCGAGACGGCGTGCGGTTTTTAGTCTAGTTAAGTGTTATATATTTATGTCAAAAAGCACAGCATACAAAAATAAAACAAAAGATAAAAACAACATACACAAAGAAACTAAAAATGAAGTAAGGTTTGATAACGGCATTTTCAATGTGTCTATCTTTCATTATCGTATAGTATCCGCGTATCCAATTACGCGTCTATAAAATTTTACTTATAATAACTATGTTGGAACTTATCAACTAATGCTTATCAACCTGTGGACCATAAAAAAACCTTCAATGTTGCTGAGGATTGTACGTCGTGCTTCAGTTACTTCACTGTGGTGGATAGATGCCACCTGAGTACTGATTTTCAGTGCCCTCCTTAGTTTTAATATTATGTGTATTATATGTAATATATAGTATTATTCCAAAAACATTTGAAAACTTAAATGTTGAAATTTTTTGAACGTTAATGTGAAAATGCACAATATTGTTATTTAATAAATGAAGATGAAGAGGTACTAAACTTACAGACACGATAGCCTTTTAAGCAAGTCAAGCAAGTCAGGAGGTATCATATGCCACCTACAGGAACATAAACCGGCGGGTAAGGATATAAAGCGTAAATTGCCGTCAAGTATAATAAAATAAAGAATTACAATGTTGTTTTATTAATTTCGGAATTCAAAACATTTCTTTCGTTGTAAAAATTTAGTAATACTAATTCGATTAAGAAGTCTGAGGCAAGTGAGCTCCGCTGGCTCTGTAGCCGTTTTCATCAGCGATGTAATCCACTCTGTATTTATGCCCGTCATCACCTATATATTCGTAGAATCCTCTGACTTTGGTACCACCGCCTATTCCATTGACTGAAGAATCTACAACTCCTGATTCCTCGGCAGCAATTCCATTATCAGTCTCATATGAAAAATGGTAGTTATTTTCATCGAAGTTTCTGTTTTCTCTCACAATGCTAGCAGCGCCGTCAACGACTGACTTGAAATATGTTGTAGGATGAGACTTGGTAACAGCGAATGGCTTAGGGGTTGTGTACACAAACGGGCGGTATGTCGACACGATGGGGACAGCTGGGTTACGGTAAGATAAAGTAGAAGGATATGGAGATTGATCAACACTGAAATAGAGAAAACCATTATGTAGTTCACAGTATTAATAGACTTCATGTAAAAACACACGTCAAAATTAAAGGTAAAACTTCACGTACTGAAATAAATATCAAGGTTTACACTGCATTAGGAATACATGTATATAATCGTTGTCATACAGTTTTACAAAAATAAATCTATATTAAAATATAGATGTCAGCTTAAAATTTAAAAGAAACCTACATGATTATAATAAATTCTAATATTATGTGTAATATCCTTGAACTGCCAGGCAATATCGTCTGTTATGTTAGGTGTTAGCCGTTTGATATTCGGACGCATTAAAGGTATCGGCGAAATGACATCATTCAAGGTAGATATGTCAGAAATTCCTACAATTTTCTGTTGAACAATACAAATATTTGTTCATACCATAGCGATTGGATCCACGATAGTGGTTTTTTATTCAAGGAACAATACGACCGATAAAATGGACCCAACAAATAGCAATTGTATCTCCCAGACATAGTACAGTATAATCTGGACTATGTAGGTTTCGAACCCGCACATCTATTATTTGTCTGCCAGAAACAAATTGATCACTCGACATACCGCTTACTTTGATTTCTGTATTTCTATGATAAATGTAAGTATTTAAAAAAAATCTTAAATAGCCATCTCTTCCAGGTATCTTTAATGTACCAACAATAATTAAACGAATTAAAACAAGATTAAGTCTCGAGGTATGTTTGTACTTTGCAGTAACCTACGATTTAAATTCAAGGCTAATTTAATGGTATCCATAACTCCATTTAAGCGATGTCTGAATAACCCAATTTTAACGAGATCAGTACTCGTTTGTTTAACTTTTACAGCTTGTGTAGGAAGATGATGGTCACTTGTATGTACTCCGTGTGCTCCGACATGTAATGTTCAATTACGTTAACTTAACTTTTGTAATCTACAGCAATTATTTGTTGTTTGTAATTTCAGTAAAAAAACATACTGACATAAAAATGCCACACCTAACATATTTGTCCTTTCAAGTGCTTTTTTTAAATTTTAATATTAGGAGTATTAAGTACTTACATAAGTTTAATATTATTTGCTACTTTATCTGCAAAAATGCATTCTAAATGATAAAACTAAAAATATAAATTTATATTGCCATATAATTATGCTGTAACGTAAAACATTTTTCACTTTAGATTACATTAAAGCAACAAAAATTTTCATTCTTTACACCTTCAATATTTTTTGTAACAGAACTGTGTTTCCTATGAATTTGGACTCTAAACGAATAGCAATCACTCAGAAGCCTTTAATAACAATAAAATCAATTAAGCCTCAAGTGCTAACATACAATCTGTATTCTTGCTAAAGTACAAAAGCATAATAGGCTCTTAAATTAATATTGATTGTTTTAGAATTAATGACAAACACATCACTAACAGGTATACTACTAAATGAAGGAATTCTGACGTTTAAATGCACCATTCGTGTTCGAGGAAATGAACTATAAACATCACTCATTGAATGTTACAGTGATTTAATAGCATCAAATAGACGAAATACTCGGTCGAGACGTCAGGCAATTTAAACGTACGTACTTAATACTTGTCGTGAGCGAATATGGGCACGATAGTTTAAGAGATCAAATACTGGTGATAATTTCTTTAGTAAATATTTTTTTTTATATTTATAAATATAATTTTAGCATATAATTATAAGCATTTTCATTCCTCTATGTATTCGCAGGCTATTTTGTGTCACAAAAAAAATGTTAAAGAAACGTATAGAGAGGATTATAATTAACCTTTACACAAGGAATGAGCAAGCACATAGAAGTGCCAATGTATGTTATTATACATAACGTATGTATGATACTTAACGTTTAACAAACGAGATTTGATAAAATGCTCTAATCAGAGTATTAGTCCCTCCTGACATTTTGCATATATTTTTGAGCCTACGCCGCCGTCAACATTCTTTTAAGCCCATAAAATATAATATTTGTCAACTTTAATTTTTACTTATCGTCCTACTCTACATGTAATTGAACTTGAACTCAGATAAACTCAATGCTCACACATGTTATATAAGAGATTTAGCAAAATCCTCTGATATTTGTTCGAGATATTACCCTACCCAGTCATTCATAAATAAGCGAAAGAAAGAATTTTTGTAATTGAGTGAAGCTCAAGAGATACGAGCGCGTTGTCGTTTTTTAGTATCCCCTCCCTCCAGACTTGATGGTTGAACCGCTGGTTATTACTCGGTTCTAAGCAACAAATGGGTCGTGGTATCACTCCGGCTGATGCGGCTATTGCCGAAGTATGGACCTCCCATGACTTCAATATTTTAAAATCTTTAACTAACTTACAATGGAAAAAAAAATGATAGAACATATTTTACTCTTCCTTCTATCCTTTCGCTCGCCAGAAGTTCCACAGGAGAGACATCAATACCCAATTAGTACCGCTTACCTATAAGCAGACTGTATTTTATACCATCAATTTACTTTTTTAAATAATGAATAGTCGACATGGAAGTCTGAAATGTATTTTTTCGTATAATTTTAACCCAGATTAATAAAATGCACAATATTTTTTTTTATGTTTCTATTTTTAGGTACTCTGAGTAAATAACAAATATAATATTTAAATATTTAGTTATTTGGTAAAACAGTTGCTTCACGACTTAACGACGAAAACCACATACCATCCAATACAAAGACCTTCACATTCACAGACTATACAAACCTTTATAAGTCTCTCAAGAGATATGTGCAGCTTTACCAAAGATGCTATGGGTTGCAATTTACAGTGATATACATATATTGGCTTAACTTTAAATGAGTATTTGAGTAGTAGTGTTAATATATTACTTTTTCGTTCTATGTCAATGCTGTTTAACTTTTATAGATTAATATCTATATACCTTACAGGCTCGAAATACAATCAAATTTTGCCAATTCGTAGCACCCCCCCTCAATAATATGATTTAATCTACGTTAATATATTAATCAATTAAATGGTAGATATTCTTAAGAGGATTTTATTTTATCCAAAAGTTACTATGTTACTGCTATCGTCTTACCAAATTAATAAAGATTTTTTTTTTACCTGCCACCTAATTTAACTTGTAACGGCGATAAAATTTCCCTGCTTGGCGCCTGATAATACAGCGGCTGATAAGCTTTGTAGATAGAACCATATTTGCCATTTCTTTCCGCCAGCCTTCTGTAATACGGATCTTTCGAATAACGATATCTCACGTCACCGTAAAAACCAGGATGGTATTTTCCATCTTCTTCAGCATGGGACCAGCTGATAGCTGCTAAAGCCAGTGTTATAATCTGTAATAAAACCAATATTGTAAAAAAATAATCTTGTAAATAGGAGCGCCTAGACAAATTTAAGATGCTACTGAAGTGCTCTATGTTAACAGTTGGCAAATCAGAGTCTCCAGGCGATTTTATTTAATTCCATATTGCTCGTTGAGCTGAATTCAGATATTATTTATATGCTTTTTATTTTATACCATACGCAGCGTATATACTATAACGTTAAAATTATGTTATCAAATATCTTTGAATTTTATTACTATTTGCCTAACGTATTATTATTTTACTGTTTAATAGATGTCCATGTCCAAGAGGCGTCTCCAGTCCAGCATAGACGTAAGAGTATGCGACCCGGCCACATCGAGCTGCTAGAGTCTAAGTCCTTTTTCAATCCTATCCCTCTTCTCGCGCTATCATTTTGCCTTATCCCAACTAACCTCTTTGGTCTCGTGGTATCAAAGAGTTTTGTCGTCAGCCCATAAAAGAAATCAAAAACCCATGCATACTTACTTAGCGTCAACTTCAAGAAGTTTGGCATGGTAAAAAGAATAACAATAGTTTTGCTTTTACCTATAATCATAAGTTGAAATACATATATCTGTATAATTGATATAATTTTTCACTTGTAAGCAAGCTTAATTTATTTAATATTAGATAGGCAATCCAAAAATCATTATTAAGCTGATTCCAATAAATAAATTAACTGTTGTATGTATGTGAGCCCTACTTACCGTGATCGATTTCATGATTCCTTAAGGCTCTTCAACTATTTAATGAAATAAAAACAACAAACCATTCTTTATATACGGGTTACAAAATCGAAAATGGAGTATTTATTGCAACAATACATCCTTCTCCATTAGAAAAATGTTAATTTTAATCGTGAAGGCGGCGTTTAAGGTGGCTTGAACAGCATTATAATATATTACATTGCTGACCGCTCCCAAAACTAGCACATTTAAATTGCTCAGATGAGATGCTGCCCACCGTACATACCACAATAGGTTATAAATAAATGGAATATAAATTAGATTACCATCACAGTACTTGAAGGTGAGGAACGAGTCCTTGATTACTGCCTTGCTTAAAAAGTACATTGTTGTAATATTACTATTTAGTAGTTTAATTTGTTGAGTCACTAATATGTATTGCACTATGGCCGCACTACATCCTTGTTCATAGTCTTTCTATTTGCGATACTGTAAGTTCTGAATCTGTAAAATGCTGAATTAATAATAGTAGATTAGTAGCCAAGAGCTGTAAGGCATCAATTGCAGCCCGAGATATTTAGGCGCACGAGCGCAGCAAGGGCGCCTATAGTTCGAGGGTGCAATTGATGCTCACACCTGAGCTAACTATTCTGCTTTACATCTCGATTGTGAGATAAGTAGAAAAAAACCGGCATTACAAGAGTAAAACATTTTATTTGTTGAAATTTATAGTGAAATGAGAACAATTTTCAAATTTTAAGGACAGGTGTTTTTTGGGATCACTTGAAGAACTCATGTTTTTTCTTAATTAGCACGTAATTATAAAAAAGTAAAAGTTTTCTATGCCCGCCTTTTTTCATTAAAAAGAATCAAGTAAAGAACTTTTTAAGTTTTTTTTTCAAAATCGAAATTGAGCTTCGCCGTTAGATATTTAAAATTGATGACTATTACACACTCACACGAAGACAAGGCTGAATAGCAAAGCGACCTCTGGTCATTGGGCTGAATGCATGATGTCTATTGCCAGTATGATGGTTAGATGTACGCAAACTTTTTGAAAGAAAGAAGTGTTTTTTTTTAAATTACTTACCGCCCTAGGGCTTTTCTAGCTACATTATTACCCTAGAGCGCTAATTAGTCACTTACAAGCCCCATTTGGAGGTAATAAGAACCTACTTACCGAACATAGAGATGTAAAATAATATTTCAAGTTAATCTAACAATATATTTCATTTACAAGAAGACCTAAACAACACACGGTGTCACATATAAACATAACATGTCTTGAGTAGTTGAAAACCATCTTGAGTTGTTGAATTATTTTAGCTAATGTCAAATATACGGAAAAATGTGTCAGTCTGAGTATCTAAGACTTGTTTTGTTTTGTTTTTAACCGACTTCCAAAACACAAAAAAGGAGGTTCTCAATTCGTCTGTATTTTTTTTTTTTTTTTTTATGGTCTTAATATTTTGTTTTTACTAAGTATTTATTCTATTAAATATTTACTTTATTTTAAAATATGAAACGTTTATATTTTAAATTTTTGAATTGAGTATTCATAGAAATACAAGGCACCCTTTATTTATTTTTTATTACTTTTTTATCATTAATTTTTTGTCTCTTCTACTATGTGTGCTCGTTTATTACGTGTTACTTTGCAGGACATAATATTTGAGCTTCTTTTGAATAAAGCCATTGATTGGATTTCTTTTAAGTCGTTCGGTAGTTTATTGTAAAGTTGGGCACCTTCGTATTTAATATTTCTTAAGCCGTAGTTGGTTCGCGATATAGGGAGACATATATTATTAGCGTTTCGCAACATACGGTGCTGTACTTGTGACTTTTTGGTAAATGTTATTTGTGTATGAATAGTTTTCCTAATTATTTTTCTTATAAGAATGCATGTATTATATTTGTATAGTTGATTGATTGACATTATTTTAGTATTACTGTAAACATCTCTTGTTTTAGTTAAATAATTCATATGAAATAGTAGTTTTACGACTTTATTTTGAGTGATTTGTAAATCTCTTAGGTTATTCTTAGCAGCTGATCCCCAGAGTTCGATTAAATAGGATATGTGAGATTATTTATTTATGTGAGATTTATTAATGAATTATATATTATGTAACTCACGGATTTAGGAAAACATCGCGCTGTGCCCCTGAGTATGCCTATTAAACTGGACAGCTTAGATTGTATTACATTTATATGTGATTTCCAAGTGAGGTGACTGTCAAGTACGAGGCCCAGATATTTTTCAGACTTTACTTTTGTTAGGGCTTCACCATTTATGTTTAGTGGTTGGAATTGTGGTATGATTTTGTTTTTTGAAGTAAAGATAATGTATTTTGTTTTAATTACATTAATAGTAAGTCGGTTATAGTAAAACCATGTATTTAATATGTTTAAATCCTCTTGTGCTCGTTTTGCAATTAGTTGGATGTCATTACCAAAGTAGAAGATACTAGTATTATCAGCATACAATGTCACATCTCCTGATAGATTCAGGTCGTTAATGTCATTAATGTAGACGAGGAAAAGGAGAGGTCCAAGAATCGAACCCTGCGGTACCCCGTACGTAATAGGTTCGGGTCTACTTGAGGTATTGCCAATTCTAACGACCTGACTTCGGTTTGAGAGATATGACCTTATCATATTTAATGCTGTTCCTCTTATTCCGGCACTGGACAATTTTTTTATTAGCAACACGTGACAGATTGTATCGAATGCCTTCTTCAAATCTACAAAGACACCCAACCCTATTTGTTTTTTGTCTATATTATCTTTTATGTTTGTTACCAGGTCAACACAAGCCGACAAAGTATTTGATTTAGATCGAAATCCATATTGATTTTTATTGATAAAATTAACGGTAGACAGATATTGATTTAACCGTCTATGTATGACTTTTTCATAAACTTTGGAGATAACCGGAAGTACAGAAATCGGGCGATAGTTACTGGGGTCTTTTTTGTTGCCGGATTTGTAAACAGGGGTAACTTTTGCCTTTTTTAATGTGTCCGGGAAATAACCACTGTCTAGGCACATGTTAACAGCTAAAGTTAGTTTATCTAGTATTAGATCCTTAACACATTTTAATGCTTTATTAGAGTTAAGGTTGTTATTAATTTTGTTTATTTCCTCTTTAGTTGCTGGTTGAAATACAGTTAGCTCGTTACCGCTTAAGTCTTTTTTGTCATATAGCTTACTGTATGCTACGCTATCGTGATACTTCATGGGGGATTTGACTAGCTAAGATAGACCCTTTATTAGCAAAAAAAGAATTAAAACAATCACATATGTCTTTTAGTTCGGTAATAGTGCCTGACTGTGTCTCTAGTTGCGTTGGGGGATTGCTGGTTTTTGTTTTGTTAGCACACAATGAATGGATAAGGTTCCACATTTTGATAGGCTTTTGTATACAACCTTTGAAAGCTTTATGGTAATATGCACTTTTAGCTTTCTGAATTTTGTCTCGAACTTCTTTTCGTACTACCATCAGGTCCTCACAGATATTTTCTTTGGATGATTCACGTAAGTATGCGGACCAAAGCTGGTTTCTTTTGTCAATGCAATCAATTATTTCCTTAGCTATCCATTCGGACTTAGGTGGATTCTGTATTTTGGTTTTAGTTACTTTGGAATACTTGATACTATCAGCCAGTTTCATCTCTAGTTCATCGTAACTCATTTGATTACTGTCGGCGGCCAATTGTTTCACCAACATAAATAGTTTATCATAGTCAACGCTTAGGTATGTAATCTTGTTCCTCTTTTCTGGGCAGTTTTTGTCAATTTCCAGATATAGGTGCTTATGATCTGACATCGCTGATTCAACGACAGCTAGGTGAAAGTTGTTGTTTTTTAAATTGGTGCCGACGTGGTCAAGTATAGTTTTGGTGTTAGGAGTTTCACGAGTACAATATTCTGCATACACTTTATTTAGCAATAAAAAACCGGTTTCGTGTAGCATTTGTTTATATTTTATAGTTGGTTGAGCGTGATTTAATAAATTATAATTAAAATCTCTAAATACTATGGCTCTACGATGATTTAGCAGCTGTTCGGAAAAGGTGTCCAGAAATTCAGTGTTGTTTGTTCTTTCAGGTTTGTAAATGACACCTATGTCGATTGAGAATCTGTTAAGATGGATCCACATGTAATGATTATCATTTTTGCAAAGATCTTCTATAAAGTTGTGCTTTAGCGTGCAGTGGACATATATAGACACTCCTCCGCCTCTGCCAGTGCTTCTAAAGTTGTAATAGTGTACGTAATTTGATATAGATAGACTTTCGGCTTCATAGTTAGACTTGATCCAGGTCTCTGTAAGAACGATGATATGTAATACTTTAGGTATCGATTGTATTATACATTTCAATTCGTCTAATTTGCCTGGGCATACTATGCTACGCACATTTGCATAAAGACATTTTAGAGATTTTTTGTTATACATAATATCGGAATGAGATTTAGATAGTTGGTATGTAATGTTGTTGCGTTTCAGATTTGCTGTTTTGATGTCGATGCCGAGTAGTTTTTTGCATGCGGTTGTGTAATTTTCGAAATTTTTGGTACTCCATTGGAATACTTTATCGTTATATCCAGCTCACCTTCATCTTGACGTCTCTTGAGCTCACGCCTAAGGTTTTGTCGATATCTTTGTTGAGCACTAGTCTCGTCAGAGAAGATTTTTATTGTTTCTGGTTTTATCTTAGCCTTTTTACGCAAGATAGACTTAGCCATCTCTGCAGACTTGAAGATGGCCTTAATAGGTCTGGATTGTCCTGGATTATATTTACCTAGACGAATAGTTTTAATTGGATCTTCACACGTTGGTACAGCCATTTTCGTTATTTTCTTGATTTCAGTTATATCATGATTGAGTCACTCCTCGGAGCTGCTTGATTTAATTTCGTCGATACCATGTATGATTAAGTTTCTCTCTCGTTGTGCTCGCTCACGAGTTTCAGCTATGACATCTTCATAGGTCAAGGGATAAGCCAAACAGACTAGAAGGGACTATTGGTATTATAATGTTACCTGTTACATTGAGGGTACTTATTATAGTTTTTACTTAGATTTGTAATTATTTTTTAATTTTTAGTGCTCTTTGTCGGTGTTGTTTGAAGTCGGTTCAACTTTTTTTTTAAAAGGGTTTATATAACATCACATTTTTGTCACAAAATAAAGGATTGGTGTATAGAAGTGCGTACTGATGAAAATAATGTTCTAGATGCTTTCTGATTAGCAAAATCTTTGTACATTTCATCGTCATTTGATAGTCTTGTATCTTACATATTTTTAATATTTCTCGTTGGCATGCGCAAAGAGTCGGTATGAAGCAACCGGCCATAAAAGAAAATAGCTAAAACAATTTTTAAATAAAAAAAGGATTGTGTGAAAACGACACAGCTAGAAAGGGAATAAGCAGTAGTTATTTTTTTTATTTAGGGGTAGCAATCTTACCTCAAATTTTATTGGAGCCAAACGGAAAGTATACCCTTTTAGTTTAAAAAAATCCAAATTGGTTTATGAATGACGAACATTTCATGTAACAAATATAACAAATCAGCTAAATTGGGAACTATTCTCTTTTAAGAAGTCGGTTTAATAATAACAACTATACTCGCTTGTAGTAGGTAATATGAAAAGAGATAAATTTTAACAAATAACATATTTTAATACTATGGAAATGTTTTCTTTGAGAAGTAAACATAATCAAATGAGAAGTTAAGAAAACGCGATAGGTTGAAAGAAGATCGAATGAGAAGAATTAACTACTGGTTTCAAATTAAGCAGTGCTTAGGTATACTATGAAAACTAGTTTTTATTTTATGTTAGCGACGTCTTATGTTAGACACCCGTCTGCTCGTCTGCCCCCGCTAACATAGCTAGTCTGCACCTGATGAAAAGTGACCATCGCTGCCCATTTGACTGATAGAATACTTACATACTTTTTTTAGTAAATACAAACATGTTATATATGGAAAACACCCAAACTCCGGAACAAATATATGCAGATCATACAAACATTTTGTCGAACCCGAGACCTCAGCACAGCAGTTGCATACGCTACCACTGCACCACCGAGATAGTCAATGGTGCAAGCCGATTGTCAGGATCATGACAAATGGCCTTTTATAATCTCTGCCTACCCATGACGGAAATAGGGCGTGAGATAAGATTTTGTATTTAGGTATATGTGTTTGCATTCCATTGCATTCCTATCAGATATATGCAACAGAATGATGCAGAACCAGGCCGTTAGAATTCGAGTACTAACAGATTACGAAGTTAACAAAACTGTCTTTTTTGTGAGCAGTTAAATAACAGAGTGGTAAAAGTTTGAGCGATGAAACTTATCGAAGTTTAATTACTATTAAACAGCGAAAAAATCTAGAAAAATGAAGATCATAGAAATTTATTCAAGGGTCCTCCTAAACCTAAAATAATTTAATTATTATCTAAAAAACAAATTCACTAAACTTAGTAAAGACGTTGTGATGACATAAATAAATATTATTTAATATTTGAGGACGCAAAACCCATGATCCTTTATTGATGCCTTTTTCTTCATTCGGGCATTAGTTAACCTTATTTTGCTTCATTTAATAAATACTCGTACTCTCAGAAATAAAAATGGGTGTTTTCTATGTAGATATAATATGTATGTATTTACATTAGAAAAAATATAAATATTCTTTTAGTCAATCTTACTTTTATAGTACAAGTGCTTAGTTTGAAACTAAATGAAGTTGTGTGTCAGATGAATGAAAAATATTAAGTTATTTATTTTATTTAAAATATTCAAATCTAACTTTACTTCCACAAATTAGTGTGTTTAAATAACAAAAGATAAAGGAAGAAACTTTTCAGCTAAATTTTGGCACAACTGGTAACACCCATCATAACCATGATTTTTATTATGTATATAGTTCATAAATATTAACGTAATGATTTTTTTGGTGTTCAAATCCTTTATTCGTCATATAGCACCTTTTTTTTTATTAGGTGAATTAATAAGGTCAAAAGAGCATTTCGACTAATGATATGTATCTGTAGCATATCGTTTGGCTGATTGTTTTGAGGATTTTTAGCATAAAAATAAAATAAATATTTTATATTTATTAATATGTGAAGGTTAAAAGTTAAATCCTGTTTGCCTTATATGAGTAACATTTTCAAAGAAAATGTATATTATATCTTTGGTTGTAAATTACGATTATTTTGCGGTTGGAATCTTAATTTATTTTTCTCAGAAACGTTATGGAAGGATTGTAATTCGATGTCCAACAAAAGAAATAGAATTGTGCTTAAAAAAACTAACAAACAAGCTATGATCGCAAAAAAAATAGAAAAGAGAGAAAAGAGAAGAGACCAAAGTTACTAAATCCAATCTTTTGGAGTAGTCAAAATGTATCTTATGAGCTTAAATTCGAGGAGTTTGCAGGTAGCCTTTGACGATTTCCACTATCTACCGCCGTATGCTCCAAGATACAAAACAATAGTGTAATCATTCAAATTATATATAGGTACATTCAAGGTTTTGATTCTAAACAACACTGGTTAGTTGCAAGTAAAGCTAATAGAAAGAAAGATGAATACTACATAATACTTAATAAATACAATAACTTTACCAATATCTTAACTTGTAAAATGGTTACAGAGTGCACCCACTACCTGTACACCTATTATCAAGTTCCTTTTACCTGAAGATTAACGTTTATTTTAGATAGTAAATTTACTTTACATTATTATTACAATCACAAAAATATTTTGTACTTACGAGTACTTTAGTTTTATTATTTTAAACCGCAATTTAATTAGATGCTACAATAAGCCGCCGCGCCACAAAGATCTCTATGTAAGTATTTTTTTCTTTTCACCTTACGCTATACAAAAACAGCTCTGTAAAGAGAAGAAAAACTTGACAAAAACCCTATACCATCCCGTCTGGCCAGCGTGGTATAGTAGGCCAAAACCTCCTTTCTAAGGCGAGGCCTATGACCAGCAGAAAACTAAAGTTGTCTTCATCTATAAGTATATATTTAGCAGTGGACTATTAAAGGCTGATGATGTGATGATGACGATGAATTCCCTCACTAGAAATATGTTCTGTGTTGCGGACGACTTTACAATCATTTATGAAAAGTTTTCAGCTTTAAAATATTATTATAGGTTATCTTAAAAATTATACTTTGTACACATTGACGGTTATAAAAAGTTATATAGAAATGATATTGGTTTATTTTATTTTTTTTCGACTTCAAAAAAGGAGGATATTCTCAGGAGATCAAAACTTCGTCATTTATGAACCTATTTGGTAAATCCTTCTCTTTTATTTGAAATTGTGTACTTTCCTTTTGGTTCTATTGAAAGTTAAATAAAAGAACCCTCCCCACAGTGTGAAGATTAAGGAATGAAGTAAACAGTTCATTGCAATTCATCACGATGTAAGCAAGTGCAATAAAGTCAGTTATACTTTTTAATAATCTAGGTATCTAATTCCCTACAATTTTATACAGATTATACGAGTCCTTACGTCAGTTAACATCAACACATATTTCGATATCAAGAGCTGTAACAACGACTAGAACTACGATTTTGTAAGATTTATCTATCCTTCATCTCTGTTAGATGTAATACACAGAGTTTTTAAAATAAAACTATTCCAAATTAATCATTTATATAAGCTTATATTATATTTAATAACAATATTACAATGGCACAAGTAATAAATATCACGTTTTATTTGCAAATACTTTCGTCCAATTAGTTTTCATGGTCTGTTTTTATTCTGAATTTGAATCAACAACTCTTACAAATACCTCGTACTCTAACTTCAGTTTATTAGTCAAAGCATTTTTGACGGTACTTAGAGTTTTTGTGCCCCTAAAACTGTAGTAAGAGCCGAACTTTTCACCCTGAGGAACTTTTAATGTTGGTGGATATCTGAAACGAAAACAATATTTATTGTATCATCAACTTCTGTTTGATAATCTAAAATAAAATAAATACAAATACAGTAATAACAATATAACAATCAGTTTCAAATACACTTAAATTTATCAAAGAAAACTCAAACTTAAAGAAATACATTATGACTTTAAATGAAATTGATATTATACCTATATTATTTCAAACTAGATCGGAGAATAGGAATTTTAGCAGAATCTATTTAGTCACGGATGTAGTTATGAATTAAATGTCAGTTTTTTATTCACCAATCGTCATATCTTGTAGGTATTTAGTATCTATCAAAAGCTGAGTAGGCAACTATAATTTTGAGTATTAAAATCTTTGTTCGAGGTAATTCTCACGACATTGAAATTTTAATGACACTCGTGGTTTACACCCGATCTAAAGATTCATCATGAGTCGTAAAATTAGAACCTAAACGCCATTCTTACATAATAATGTAGCAGAATTCTATCCACATACCAATAGATATAAATATTCCGGAAGAGAGGTCAAAGGTGTATTTAAAAATTTATTTATACGTTTCAAATATGTATATTAATGATAACCTACATTTGAACTTAAGTGGTTTCCATAAGTCGAGCTATGAACAAATAAATGTTGACTTTATTGTTTTGTTCAGATTTTTAAACAAAACATTATTTTAATTTGAATTAATTGAAAGCAGTTATGATGATGCAAGAGTAAACATCAAAATATATTGAATAAAAACCACAAAACAACGAAAAAAAGAAACCATTAGCAGGTACATTTTTTAGGATAAAAAATACTAAAATACTTGCCGAAATTATTTAAATATTTTTAATGTTTCCTAATGGTGTTTTCCATTTTTTTAGGAACATTATTTAATTACTTCGACAGAAGCAGGCCTGAAACTAACGGGGCGTGTATTGCATGAATCTCGCTAAACCGAAGGGGGCAGAACTCCGAATATTATACTCTCTGATATTTTCTTCTTTGGCTATAGGTACACTCGATTTATGACTTCGTCACTAGCTCTTTTTTCTTTTCTTTTCTTTTTAAAGACAACTCCCGCAGTAGGAACATATCCTGTGCCGCGGGGGACTTTACAAACATTCATGAAACGGACACAAAGAACACCCAGACTCAGAACAACAATTTGTGGATCACACAAAGTGTTGTCCTATGTGGGGATCGAACCCTCAACACTCAGCGCAGTAGGCAGCGGCAAAGTGACCGATTAAACCACAGTCTGGTGATTTTATTTATTTATTTATTTAAGGGACACCAACAGTTGTTACAGATATAATACAGGTAGGGATATTCAACGTGTTCTTTGTATCCACATATTATGCTACAATTTTAAAACCTATTTACCTAACTTATATTCTAGGAAAATGCCAATGACTCGATCACATTTTCATATGTTTCACGTGTCTGACAATCATCGATATTGAATCAGAGTGATATGTTAGGGAACTATGTATATCACATATGGCTTATTACGATGCTACCTACTTATTTCATTCTCTATAATATTCAAGAAGGTCAATTTTGTTTAACATGGTGAGAAATACTAATATTAATATTTACATATACAACTTGTTTACCATGCAAAATCAGACTTGTGCAACATTAATCCCATCATTTGAATTAATAAACTATTTAACTGGGCTTTACTATAAGCATACTGTTAAATACAATTTAACTACACGATACTTATTAATACCAACACATTAGAACCGTGATTACAACAATACTTAACAAAATAACCTCATCACCTCGTAACTGTACTACCGCATACCGCGGTATCACTAGTACACCATTAAAACAATTTCTATGCCCTCTTTGAAGAAAACAAAATCGTAAATCGTACCGATTAGATTTAAAAGCGATGTTATAAAGGTAATCAGTTTATTTACGGCACATGATTACTTTTTACAGTAGTATAACATACAAATCTGTCCAGTATTTAGACAGTACTGTCAATAATTGATAAAAACATTCTAATGTGTTTATTTGCATTACCACACTATTGCTCATTCGTTATGACGTCATGTCGATAGTAGAAGCATAAGTTATTAATATGCTTTTCCATTTTACAATGATCTACTATCTTCTTAAAAGTTCTGAGATTTAATGTTAAACCAAAACAACTTGCATTTTTTTTAAAGGGGGGTTTCCTGCAGAACTCGATTTATATACGAGTATATATATATATTTTACCGTATCAATATTGACATTTAATGACTTTTATACTTATATATATATGTATATATGTCATTAGATAACTAAGGTAACACTTTATGATAAAGTTGTAGTAGGAATTAAATTATAAATTATGTTCTTTATCTTACTGAAAATTCAGGGTTCTGGCTTTAGCCAGCACAAAATTACAGGATGTTGAACCCCTTCGAGATAAGGATGGTACGGCCATGCCTCTTTGTATTGGTCGACTTCGCGGGGCACTACCGTACCCCTATTTCGTAGTTGTAACTTTTTCTTTTACTCAATCTCAGTCAATTATTCAGTTCAGTTAATTTGTAAAATTAAATACTTGATGTTCACTATGCAATTTAGACTTTGAGAAACCCTAACAAATACGTTATTTTTTCAATACTTACAACTTTTTTATTTATAAAGATTTCAATTGTAATGTTATAATATTTTTTTTGAACATCAATATATTATATAATTTTAAATTTCAATCATTTTTTCATTGCTATATCTATGCTATGCTACGCATATATTTAATATTTACATAGACCCAAAACAATAGATTTTATTTCTTTGAATCGTTAAAATCAATGTACAGTTTGTACTGAATTAAAGAGTAAGCCCTTCAAAAACCATTGATTTTTTGAAATGTTAACTTCATTACTATGCGAGTGATAGGTTTGCACAGGTCAAGTACAGTAATCAAACCCAGTTATTAACATTATAATTGTTTCCATGATATCCATCAGTTAATTAGTATTATTAATCCCTTTTCGAGTGACATTGATTTAAAATATTAATAAATATTCTGCACGGAAAGTTGTAATTATACTTACTGGGTAACGAATTCCGTTTGGTTAGCAGGATCCAAATATTTGCATTTGACAGCAGTTTCTTTATCTGCATAAACCTTGCTGTAATGATTGATGCTTCCTTGTGATTCGTCACCAAAATTAATGGCATCTTCTGAGACATACCTGTCGACTAACGATTTTATTACTTTATGTATATAAGGATATCTATTAGCATAAGTCTTGCTGCCGATGTAATCAATTTTAGTAACTTTCTTTGAAGAACCGTATTTGCCGGATCCTGGCGGGCCAGGAGGGCCATTAGGACCTGGTGGGCCAGGAGGGCCATTAGGACCTGGTGGGCCATTTGGCCCAAAGCCTCCATTTCCACCGAAACCTCCATTGCCACCATTACCACCATTTCCGCCGAAGCCGCCATTTCCTCCAAATCCACCATTGGGTCCTACTTGATGCACATACTTGTAATCTCTATGCACATATCTATAGTCCCCATCATCTTCTGGATATAACCCTTGTTGATATATGTACGTGTATCGTCCCTCATCACCAGGTATGTACTTCCCTTCATCCAGAGGTCTATAGTAACCCCCGTCATCATAAAAGTCATATTTTTTTGGCCTGTATTTTCCATCGTCGTAGGGCGAGCATTGAATTGCAGCCCAAAGCGTTACCACTAAAACCTACAACAACAAAAAATATATAAACTACGTGCCATGAAAAAATAGGCTCCGACATGCGTTTATTTCATAACTTGCAAAGATGTGTACATTTGTTTAATTCTTTAAATAAAATCATCCAAGCTTTAATTCAAACTTTGTCATCAAACACCGACGCTATAGGTTTGTGATCAAAAATTGTTAAATACTCTAAAATATATAAATATACTTACAACTTTTAAAACACTCGACATGTTGTAGCTCTTCAATAAATATCAAATTATTTAACACCTCCTCCAATCAAGATGTTCACTCTACAAAATATGTTATAGTTCTGAAACTAGATCAAAACGTGTCATAGGTTAAGTGTGCTTTGTTGGAAATAAATTATATTGTTAAAGCCTTCCAATTCTCCTTTGACATTTTATTAACATTTACATGAATAACAAATTTGATTTAAACATACCGAAATTGTAACACATTCGAGAAGGTCAAATAAAAATTAACATATGATTTATATATTAATAATAGTTCCGTAACAACTGAGATTAATTAATTCATTCACTTTTACACTTTTATACCAAATTTAATTGAAGCCACGAGCTTACGTTCCCCTGCACTTTCGAGACGACCGACTTGTAAGAGAGTCGTAATTCTCTTGTGGAATGTTTGAAGCTCCACTTAACACATCGATTTGCATAAAACAAAATGATTAAAATGTATAAGATTTTATTACGTTCATTTCTTCATATAGTTGACTTACATTATTGGTCTAGTATAAAATCTTAACCTACATCTAGAGTAGGTATGCAGCTATGTAAATAACTCTGGCTATTTGCAACAATTTAGTTCCTGAAGATCACTATTAAGAAATATAGAATTATTAACTTTGTCGTGAGATCACAGTAGATGACACAACATGATATTTTATTTCTAACTAATAAAGGAATTCATCTAGAATTATATACCTGTCCATATTTACTGCCTTGTCGACCTCATCCGAAATAATAAACCTGACGTTATAAAATTTCGCCATACTTGCAAACACATCATCTTTTCCAAAGGGGTTTTTTTTAGGAGTGAGTGTGGAGGTAGATAAACATTCGAAATGAGTTTTAGAATTCCAACATCGTTTCAGTATTGGCTGGAATTTATGAAATATACCTATAGGTGGTAAGATAATTAGATTACTTGATATCAATATGTGTAAATAAAAAATATTTGATAGATCCTTATTACGTAATGCAAACTAAGTCAAATATATTTTTTACTAAACAGTTACAAAAATGATAATAACATTCATAGAATGTGATACTTTATTTATTTTTACTAATGTCAATTGTAACTGATATATCCGAAATTTAAAATACCAAACACCTCATATTAATGTACTTTCTTATTCCTTAACCACGATTGCACGAAAAAAATATACTCATTACAAAATATTAATTAATTTGGAAAGTGTGTATATAATAATCTGCTGTAATATAAACTGAAAAAGGATCTCAGGTTAGTAAACACAAACCACCAAGTTTTTCACCTTGGTTATGTAAAACTACTTAAACGAAATCTTAAACACGTTATTGACATACCATATATATGATTATGGAAATAGCCATGACTTTGTATAAGCTCATTAGCGTTGTAAAGAATGAACTCACAGAAATAATTAACTTCATTATTTATTTATTTATATGCATAAATTATGTTATAAAAATAACAATATACATATGTATTTTATATATGTCCTACGATCGATCGATAGGAGTGGCAGTGGAAGGACACCGATAGACGCTTGGCCCATATCGATGTTCCGTAGTTCCACTCCAATAAACGAGTGGGTGGGAACTGCAGCTCTGTTTCCTGGGAAATCAAAAGGCTTTCGTCTTATATGGTGCAACCCTTAGACCCAGACCACTGATATTTCGGACGACACAAGCCTCCCCTAACTCGGCGAGATCCAGGACCTCCTGAAAGCCATACACTCAAAGTAGTTATTTTATACATAAGAAATCGCTGGTATCAGCTAGTTGAATATGAATGTAAAACGTTTGTCAATAAATAATTAAGTGGACAATTAAATTAAATTAGAAAGAACCATCGTAACTGGTTTCTTACATCACACGAAACGAAACGGTATCAACCTACTTAAGGAGTAACCAAATGAAGAAAAGAGAAACAAAATTTCAAAGATTACATTAAAATCAATAGAATCATGACTGATACACTGAAGTTTTTGACAAAGAAATTACTCAAATGTACTGTAACACGATGTATGTAGGTGTAAATCAATAATTGTCAGTTAATTGGCAAATCATTAATTTCATTCGATTTACGGATGTAAGTGAATGATGATGATAGAAAGAATATTAATTTAAATACCAAGTCTTGCCGTAAATATTGTCAGAAGGAATTAATTTTTTTCTATTGCACAATATATTTTTTACTGTAATGTATGTTGGTTTATACATTAATATATAAGCATTTAAAATGTATGAAGCTCATTCAAAACGATATTCATTGGCTTTCATACAGTGTTTTAAACGTTGAGTCCAGTTATCTCTATAAACACGCACTCTCTCCATGGGAAAATTATTCACTGCTAATCTTATGATTGTTTTAGGGATTCCAAATTATCATGGCATTCTCTAAAACTGACCGTGAATAATAAATCAGCAGACCAAGGATCGGTACTAGATGACGGTCAGTCTTCATCGCTGATGAAGTCAGAAACATTCGTTTCCAACCACGCTTGAATAGACCGATTTTTATGACTTGGTGCTGAGTCTTGCTGAAAGGACCATTCTTAGTAATGGAACATGGTGTTATTAAAAGGCTTTTCCACATTAATAAGAATCGTATCTTGATGTACTTAATCCTATGTTATGACACCGTCATCACAAAAATCTAGCTCAGTCACTCCTTCATAGCTCCCCACCCCACGGAAACATCACCGAAGTCGACTAATGCTCACGTTATACTCTGATTACTAATTGATGAGTCTCTATAAAGCTTTGAGCATAAACTCGTTCATTTTACTCGTTGAAATACTGCTCAGTAGTAAAAACTTTCTCGTCAGTAAATAAAAAAATATGTGACCTCCCTTTGCGTACCGCAGTTGTTATGATTTTACCGTCCTATTCATTTTTAAATTATGAGTTAAAAATGACCAGTGTCTCTGCGTTTTGACGACATAAGTAGACCAGGTTTTATTGTTCACAAACATTCAACTATACTTCATGTAAAACGCCTGGTAAAACGTAATACTGTTTCAGTTGTTTGAAATCATACGTTTATTTATCAGGCGTTCTCAATTAGTTATTATAAAACATTTTCGTACAACTCACTATGACCGAATAAATAGGCCTTTATTATTAGGTTAAATGATTTGATTGTTGTAGTATTTACAACACAATACATAATATTTGTTGCAGTAGTTTTTTGAAGTAATCTCTAGTAATCTGGCGTTTCGTAAACTAATTTTAGTATGTCACACAAACTGAAATACTTGCATAGGTTGTATTTAATATTATCATCAACAGCCTTTAATAGTCCACTGCTGGACATATATCTCTTCTTAGAAAGGAGGTTTAGGTCTACTATACCACGATGGCCAGACGGGTTGGTATAGGGTTTGTTTTAAGTTTTCCTTCTCTTCGCAGTGCTGTTGTTGCGCGTAGTTTGCTCTCTTAGTAGGCTCCCACGACAACCACTGGATGAATGTGCGTGACTCTCCGCATTCTTAATCCATCATCATCATCATCCACAGCCTTTACTAGTCCACTGCTGGACATAGGCCTCTCCATAGAAATGAGGTTTAGGGAGGGTTTAATACGTCACCACGCAATATTTTTATCATCATCGTCTAATTAAATCTATAAATCGGATAAAATTATAGTTAATAAAAAAATCGAACATCGAGTCTCTCGTGGTTATTGCATACAATTATATTGTAATAATGTAATATGAAATCCTACCTGTGATTTGTCATATCCTTGAATATTCCTCATCTAACAGTGTTTTTCCATCTGCATGGAAAAGTTCTGAAATGATTCCTCTCCCAAAAAAAGTAATCCTGCGGGCATACCTCAGGGCCGCGGGCTATCCCCATTACTTTTCACAGTGTTTTTCAACTCCATCACTGATCGCTTACTTTCTCCCTGCTACCTTTATTCAAATGATCTCCAAATTTACACTAAAGCTTCTCCGGCTATACTATCTGAAGCTCTGAAATCTGATACAAATATGTTCCTGGAGTAAGGAGTATGGCCTAAGAGTAAATCTTTCTAAATTTCAATAGGTAGTCCTAGGATGAGCGCCACGGTAAATTGGCAACAACTGCCAGCTATTATTTATTTTATTATTGCGATGGGTATTCCATACAGCGACAAAGTCAAAAACTAAGGAATTTTTTTGGTCAAGTTCTTGTCCCCCCAGATTGGTGAGTTTGGTCGTAAATTATTTGCTGCAGCGGGATCTCTTCGAAGACTTTGTAGCTTTCTTCCTACCGATACAAAAATCACCCTAGCACAATCTCTTCTTTTTCCCATCCTGGACTATGGTGATCTTAGCTATTTAGATCTCTCCGAAGACCAATTAAACAAACTTGAGCCTCTCCAAAACGTCTGCATCAGATTCATATTCAGCTTATGAAAACATAATCATATCTCTGAGTATCGAATTAAGCTCAAATGGTTACCTATACGCATTTGCCGGAATGTTCATATTCTCTCTATTTTGTATAGAACTCTGTTCTTCCCACACATTCCATCTTATCTTAAAGAACGTTGTGAATTTTTACACAATTCACATTGCAGGTCCTTGAGATCCTCAAAAAATCTGAAGTTAATAATGCCCAGGCACACCACACAATTTACTGACAAGTCGTTCTCAATGCAAGCAGTTCGACTGTGGAATAATCTACCGGAGGCAATTAGGCAGGCTAAATCACTGCAAATATTTTAAAACTAGTCACAAATAATTACTTGACATCATAGAGGAATTTGTTTATTTATGGAGCTCTGTCTGTATATTAGCTATATATTATAAAGCGTATTAGTTGTATGTATACTATAAACGTATATAGTAAGTACGTAAATAGTAATATATATACCTCATATTTATTATTCATTTTTTTTTCAATTTATTGTAATAGTACATCGCAGGCTACCCTAAGTTTTTGTCAATATTCGTATAAAGGTTGTCTATAAGAGATCGCCGTGAGCTCCCTATACTGAAATACTGAAATGTATATAATATCTGTAAAAATACAGTGGTGTACAAAAAAGAGATAAATTAAAAAAAAAAAAAAAAAATTTAGTCAGACATCCTTTTGCGGTTTAATGCCTGTTTTGGCTTTCTAGTATATACAGCACAACCAAAACACACACACACACATATATATATATATATATATATATATATATATATATATATATATATATATATATATATATATATATATATATATATATAACCGATATATAGGAAACCGATTAGGTTCATTGGTTCTTTCCGATTCTTACGAACTTGATTTAGGGCTGGTTTTTCAATCATCAGTTATACTGTCAAATAACTAACTTGGAAATAACTTTATCTTGCTGTTTATCAAGCGAATAAACTTTTTCTGTTTTTCAATCTGGTAAACAGACTGATAGTTACTTGATGGTCTTTTATAGCTAAGTTCACTGTAAACATGCGCAAGCGAGATGCAGCTGTACAGTTAGGAACACGTTAGATAAGGATCACAAGCTATTAGACAACATTTGTGTCATTCCTTTCTTGTCAGTCAGATAATAATACAACCTTATTGGAGGTAATAGTGACGATGAACAATGGTGTAGTGGTTTGTGTAACGGACTGCTATGCGAAAGATCGCGGGCTCAATTCCCACTCCGGCAAACATTTGCGTACATTTACATTTCTATTTGTCTGGTGTTTCTATCTATACTAATATTATAAAGCTGAAGAGTTTGTTTGTTTGTTTGTTTGAACGCGCTAATCTCAGGAACTACTGGTCTGATTTAAAAAATTCTTTCAGTGTTAGATAGCCCATTTATCGAGGAAGGCTATAGGCTTCGCGAGAGTAAAAGACAATCACAATTTAAACACACGCCACAGAGACAGACTATACCTACCACCATCAAGAATTAAAATGCTACACCAGAGCCCTTACTACATGGCTGTAAAAATATACAACAAATTACCTATCCACATAAAAAATGAAACGAAGACTACACTATTCATTAAAAAACTAAAAGCATTCTTAATTACAAAATGTTTCTATTCTGTTAAAGAATACATTGAGGAAAAAAACACTTAACAAACTACATTTCTTATTACACGGAAAACAGAAAGCATATACCTAAGTACAAATCATAAAAAGAAAAATCGGTCGTGATGCACGGAAATGCTAGGGACAGTAGGAAAATGTGTATATGTATTAGTGATGTAGAATGTCGGGTGCCTTCGTATTTTTGCATGCTTTGTTCGATTATTATACGATATATTATACTGTACTATTGAGTCACTTAATTTGTATTGTTCAAAAAATGCTTGTACTTGTTCTCTCTCACATTTTTGCAATGCCTGGAAAAGGCTTCTAAGTTGGGACTACTACATATAATATTATAAGATCATTGATGTACACTTGGTTGGCAAATAAAGATTTGATTTGATTTGATTTGATTTGATTATATATCATCACGCTAAGACCAATAGGAGCGGAGCACCAATGAAGAATGTTTAAAAAATGGAGAAAATTTATTACTATTGAGAGACGCAGACGAATTTACGCGGGTCAGCTAGTGTATAATATGTATGTATGTAATATAATAATTATTTAAAAAAAATATCAGACAGATAAGCTAACATTAAAAAAGTTTCTGTTTCTAAATTATTTTTAAGCTGTAAACTATGCAAACTTTCATAGACTCGTGACTAGACTTGCAACGAATATTCGGTTACTATTCGGTATTCGGCCTATTCGGCTGCTTTTATTATATTCGGCCGAATACCGAATATCTACATATTATTCGGCCGAATACCGAATACTTAAATAATATATTTTGTCATTGAGAAATAAAAAATGAAATGAATAATTAAAATCGATTGATTACGTATATATTCATATTTTCATTTCTGTTATAATCATTTAAGTAGTCATTGGTGCATAACACAGGTACATAATCATCTTCTGAATTGGAAAAATGGAGGATTCTATGTATTTGAATTATTGTGGTAATCAAAATTTAGAAGGGTAAGGTTCTCATTTCTTTTATAATCATTTATTAAGTAGTCATTGGTACATAAAACAGGTACATAATTTAATTCACGTCTGTACAAGTTTTTGGCGCTAAAATCCAGCCGAATACTTTTGCCTAATATTCGGCTATTCGGTCAGGGGCCTCGCCGAATATTCGGTATTCGGTATACTGCCGAATATACTATTCGTTGCAAGTCTACTCGTGACATATGAGAGTATAAGAGGTCTATAATTATAAACTATACGAGTATAGCTTGTAAATGAGGTCATTAATATCTCAATTAAATATAAGTCGCGATAGACTTAATGAGATAATCAAAAACACCCCTAAAGCTTCTGATTAAGAAAATCGAAGGTCAGGCGCCAGCACTGTAATTTAAAACTACGAAAAGAATCACTTTACACTGCGTTGAATGACTTATGAAATTCATGAAAAGGAAAAGTTGTTTGTTGGTATATTGGTACACATTGAGAACGGTTAAACCGATTTAAATAAGCCTTTCTTGCGTATGGTTATAATAGCCGGAATAAGGCATTTAGCGAAAAATGAGAACAAGATGCCCGAAAAAATAAATTTGTTGAAGTGGTGTCAGGATAGCGCAAGTCGGGACCTTTAAAGGTCCCGACTTATTTAAATAAAAATTAAATCTTATTGACGTTCGTCTTGATTTTAACTTTTTATCTAATCTATTTTTATCTAAATAAAATAATAATATACGTCGAATTTTTCAACCGACTTCAAAACGGAGGAGGTTATCAATTCGGATGTACCTATATATATTTTGTTATGTATATTCGTAAGGCCGTTTATGCCGAAATTTAAATTTCATATAGATCTGATGATGATTTTTGATTATTTTTTTTCAAAAAATGACAGCAAATCCACAGCGATTGCTGCTAGGTTTTTAGTTCTCTTTGTCAGTATTGTTTAAAGTCGGTTCAACTTTTTCCATGAAAGATTTTCTTGTATTTCGTATTATTGAATATAAAACGCAAAAAAAAACAACCTTTAAAATTATTCCTTATTATTAAAACTGGGTTAAAAATTATTATTTGTTTGAAAATACGGCAATCCTCACATAGTTTACACACACAGTTTTGTAACCCTGAAAAAGGGCCTTTCAAAAGGTTGACTTCAGGGGGACTTCCTACGTACTATTTAGATTGTAACTGTACAGACGGGTCACCTGATGGTACGTCACGACTGCGGTCTATGAACACCTGCAACCCAAGAGTCACAAGTGCGTAACGCAAAACAATTGTCCTGATATTACTCCAGTATTTGGTACTGCCATGCTTCAAAATAACAATGTTTTTTGTATTCCAATAATACTAATAAGCATATTTAGTAATAAACCTTGATAATATGAATACAAAATCGAAGGTGATGGCAGACGACATCATTGCGTAATGTCTTTATTTATAATCGATTTTTCTTATTTTATCTATTTACGTCTTATTAATGGGCCGGGTGTACCTTTAAAAATAATAATATTAAAATAATATTTAATTAATCTACCTTAACTGGCATGCATAAGACGTAAATAAGACGTAAATATATTTTAACAGCTGATATATATTAACAATACCAAAAAGTTGACTCTCTTTTTGTATTTTTTTTGTATTTAAACTACCCAAACTAATGATTGAATGTGACATTAAGGGTTTATTTTTATATTAAACCTTAAATAAGTTAAAAAAGTTACAATATACCTTAAAATGGAACTTGACGTAATTTAAGATACGTTAACGCTATGTTTAGACTGTGCTATTCGTGTGGTGACGGAATAAGAATACGGAGTGTTACCACCCCTCTTCATCCCGTGGGTATTTTGAGAGCCGACTAAGGGAGCAAACAACAATAAGGAAAACTTGACACAAACCCTATACCAACTCTTCTGGCCATCGCAGTATAGTAGGTCGAAACCTCCTTTTTAAGGAGAGGCCCATGTTCAGCAGTGGAATATTAAAGTCTGTTGATAATGTGTGCCGTAACTAAAGTAAGGCTACACGTTAATTAATCATTAATAAAATTTATTTAGATAGACGATAATCTATAGGGAATGTGAGTGAGAACCTAGCTACTTGTAAAATGAGAATCTGCTCAACTCTGAGTATGTTAAATAGAAGGAAGACGGGAGAATAACTAAAAAAATGCATAATACAACGTTTCATCACCACTATAAATAGATATTACAGATGAAAAAGCAATATCTATCATTCGGGTTATTATAGGGGTTATTATTATTATAAATTATACTATTCACAATAAGAATATACTATTGTCTTATTGTAAATGGTTGTATATTAATCAATATTTTTGACGATGATTAACGACATTTTTAGTGATGTGCAAATTTGCATGGGTTTTTATGTAAAATATATATGTATTTACGAAAAAAAAGAATGTTAATCCATTTTATTCTGGGTTCTAAAAGGTGTCTATAAATACATCTCACACCCGACTGTCTGATTTCAAACCAGCTAGCACCTGTACTATAGTAACCAGACTGCTGTTACTACCGAAAACCATCATTGTCCTTCTGCATTTTCGATACATTTGATTACCTATTTATTTATCTTTGTAAAAAAAATGACAAATTAAAAACGACGTTTAAAAATATGATGTAAAATAAAAATTATTTTTTAATTTTTTTTTTTTTAATTTAATAAAATTTAAATGAAGCGTACATGAAATTGTACATGAACTAATTCTAATGAAAAACTAGGAGTATATTTACAATTACTGGGGTATGTGCACGCCAGAAGGAAGAAAGCCGTTCTCATCGGCGGTGTAATCAACTCTATAGGTGACACCATCAGGTCCAACGTATTCATAGAACCCCTTAGCCCTTAAGAGTTCTTCATCTTTGTCAACTATTTCTAATCTACCAGCTTCTTCAGCTAGAATCTTGTTTTCAGTCTCGTAGAGGTAATGGTAACCGTCGGGCTGAACATCAGTTTCCTGGCGGATGATGCCATACTTATATTCATAGCCTGATCCTGATCCTGAAGCTGACCCAGATCCAAATCCTGAAGCAGATGCAGATCCAGCACTACCGCCACTGTATGGAACAGGTTTACCGACTCCTTTGCCTGCTTTGTTTCCAGAAGCAATACCAGAGCCGCTGCCAGATCCAGTCGAAGGTTTACCAGAGTAGAATCCACCAGCAGAGCCACGGTCACCGCTGTAAAAGTAAATTAAAAATATAGCTGCCAACTAACACAATGTGTGGTCAACAAAGTATTTCTATTGAATGTTGAATATCCAGAGACAAAGATATTTAATTATTTATTTATTAACTTAATGCACATGTTGAACAAAGGCGGACTTAATACCATGGGGCATTCTCTCCCAGTCAACCTTCAGGTGATGTAGAAATATGATTCAGTAGGTGCAAAAATAAAATATTAAACTTGACATAGTAGAATTCCGGAAGTATACACAATACATATATTTTCGTGATATTCAATTAGTTTTAGAAATTTAAAAGTTTACAGGACTCTTTGTCATGTCTGTCTGATGTCTGATGAGTCAAAGTTTTTCAAATACAAAACTCACTTCTTTTAAGAGCCTGTACTTTACAGGTTCTTAAAAGAAGCTTAATTTTAACGCATAATACATTGTAAGGGTTTTTGGAATTCTATTTTTGCACAACCAAATATGCCATACATATACTTTTAAGACTGCGTGATAGTACCTTTTTTAATTACGCATTACCTATTTCAATAAAAAAAGTATAAAACCTTAAGCCACGTGGAATTGAGTGATATGAGCAGTATCTACTTACTTAAAATTGCCAGCATTGTCAGGATTGTATTTGCCAGCATCATCCTTATTGCCTACATAAGCACCACCGGGACCGCCAGCGGTTCCTGAACCACTGTAGAATCCACCGGCGCCTCCGCGGTCACCGCGGTCACCACTGGAAGAGAACATCATTTCATATAAGTTCTATTTTTATTATTCTAAGAACAGATTTTTTAAGAGAACTTTTTAGTAGAAGTGTTTACATGTAGTGTTAGTTCGTTTTTTATGTAGAGTATTGACGCAGACTTCGATCAAATATTTAAAAGTACCAACTCCACTTTATACATAGAATAGGTTAGGTAATAGTTCCTGTTGCACACACAAGTATTTAACTTATTTAGAGTGATTAGAAAGAATAGCAGTACCTTGAACGAAAAAAACAAAGTTGCTGCTGCTGCTGTTTATCATCATCGTCATCAAGATATATTAATAGTCCACTGCTGGACATAGTCTACTGCTGGACATAGGCTTCTCCTTAATCTCTCTTCTCTCCTTAATACGAAGTGTCACAACCCCTATTCTAATGCGGTCGTAGGAGCCGAGTAAGGAAGTAAACTAACGAGGGACGACATCATGGCAAAGAGAAGGAAAACTTGAAACAAACCCTATACCAACCCGTCTGGCGAGTGTGGTATAGAAGACTATAACCTTGGTTCTGGTTCTGTTATATACCCACAATCCCAAGCAGCTGAATGACGTTGTTAAGACGTATCTGTGTAACGGCATAAGTACTCACTTGAAGTTGCCACTATTGTCGGGCCTGTATCTGCCGGATTCGTCCCTATCTCCGGAGTAAAAGCCTCCTGCTCCCCCAGCACTACCGGAACCTGAGTAGGCACCACCGGACCCGCCCACGCTGCCGGAACCTGAGTAGAATCCTCCTGCACCGCCAGCACTACCAGAACCTGAGTAGGCACCACCGGACCCGCCTGCACTGCCGGATCCTGAGTAGAATCCTCCCGCACCACCGCGGTCACCACGGTCGCCGCTGAAACGCAATGTAACTTTACGATCCATGTAACTATTGTAATGGGTGTAAATAAGTAATTGATGTAGTACCATCAATTACTTATTTACACCAGTACTATCAATTACTTATTTCGAAAAAATAATAAAGAAAAGGTTGGAGCACGTTTATCTCTAATATAATCTAATGTAAATGGACAATGTAATCAATTTGTAAATAGAATTATATAAATCTAATAAATAATAATAAACCCAAAGGAATAATAATAATTTAACGTGTATCTTGTAAATAAACGGTGCAAGGATTATGAAAAAGATTAATTATACACCCTATTATTATTACTAGAATCTAGAAGATCGGCTAATAGGCTTAATATGCTGCAATTATTTAACACACTAGCTTGTTTTGCAATGGTTTATAATATCTTACTTGTAAATGCCAGAATTGTCGGGTACATAACGGCCAGAATCATCAGCGTTGGGGTTGTAACGGCCAGCGTTATCAACATAACGACCAGATTCGTCACCGTTGCTCACTCGATTATTGTATCTAAACGGTCGAGGAGTTGTAGGGAAATACCGCCGTGTGGTCGAAAATGCGAAGGGAGTGACTCTGAAGAGTAATTGAAATTTATAAAATTAATTAGATATTTACGACGATTAAGAATATTCCTAAGTGTACGGGAAACAGATTTATTTATTTATTTGGGAAGTTAAAAAGAAGTTTACATAATTAACTTCAGAATAGTAGTCAAATTTATTGTATATATTTTATCTTCCAAAATGCATAAAATAGAATAGATTGATTTGGATTGCAATTCTAATGCTATTTTACTTTTAGGTAAATATATATATATATATATATATATATATATATATATATTTAATATTGTAAATTAAAAAAAGAAATACACAATATACTACGTTATCAAAAGGTACATTACCTCACAGCACCTAAGACATCTCCTAGGAATACTGCCAGAGACACACCAAGTATCTGTCAAAAAAAAGAAATATTATATTTTTCAACTAAAACTGAGTGAATTATTATTACAAGTAATTTTATTAAGACCCGACACACTAGAACACGAGTTTTTGTTTTGCTTACACTTAAACAACGTTCCCAGGATAATCACACTTTTCGATGAAGCACATTTCAAAACACGTTTCATAATAAATTATCAAACATCTTTTAGATAAAAAAAATATATTTGTAATTTGTAATTTTTTCCACTTTAAAAGATTATATTTACAAAATGATATTTTTTGAAAACGATGTTACTTTTAACTTACCAAAAAGCCGCGCATTTTCGTTGATATCGGACGAGCTCGACTACTTGAATGTCCCCATTAATAGATCAATGCGTATTTATACCTTTTTAACTAATTTTATAATGCTCTAGTGTCCAGTTCGTCTCATTTATTATGTGTTGCTTGACGAAAACTGATTATTATTCATATTTCAATGTTAGAATAGCATCCTCACTGATTAATTTATTACCTTTGATAATGAACTATGATAACCGTAGGGACAATACCGAACTTTGATGAAAAACTATGCATCTATGATGGATTCAGTCTTGTATATATATTTATATTAACTTACGTACCATAAATATGAGTGACATAAAAGGTTTTGAACGTGAAAATATAATAAAAATATTAATCTGTTTTTATTATAATGCCAGGAATTGAATATAATATGTAAACAAAAATATGTGCATTTAATAAAATATGTATAAAATTTATTCCAAACCCGAATTTCGGCCGAATTATTCAACCGAATTGATTGACACACTTAATTATCAGAAAGCTAATATTGGTGATAGCACCAAACCATAGCCCCACTTTTTCATTTTCACCATCACATTTTCACCTGGATGTTTCTTATGTAGCTAGCGAAAGATAGCTATGAAATAGCTATCTTTCTCGTGCTACGGTTCTAATTATGTTTTAGGTACGCGGTTTGCTTTATAGCTTTATAGTGATAAAGCTTTAAAGCAATCTGAGAAAGACATGTAGTTTACATTGAGTCTCTTAAAAGAGGATGATCGTGGCACATGTTTTATACATGTATAATTAGGAATGTTTAGTAGTCGTTTACATAATTGATTTGAATAAAAATATATTAAACTTGACTTAATTTTTTAGAAAATTAAGAAGGTACATAATAAGAGACAAATGATGATAAGATGAAGAGAAGACAGGTATTTAAAAATCAAGTCTTTAATGATTTAGAAAGATCGGCAATTACAAATGTATAAATTTTATACAGAATTAGGCAAATTATTATATTCTCTTTCATACTACCGATCTTCTAAAATGATACAGTTAACATAACAACCAAATAACATCATACTCGTACAACATCTAAAGACATAATAATTGAGAATACAGTCAAAATATAATGTTAATATAATATTAATAAGTATACCTAAAACATTTGGAATTATTTTGCTCAAAATTTCTATAACTATAATCTATGTATTTAAAAATGTTATTTCGTTTCTATACGCTTCAAAAACTCAAAAAGTTCACCACCGACTAAGCTCAAATTTTAACACGACATACAACATGCTTCAAAGTCTATTTTCTATTGTCTATCTTTGCAACCATAATGTGCCACAGCGAAGCGTGGCTGGGTACTGCTAGTAATAGGTCTCTTAAAAATCTATGAGTGACAGATCAACGCCTGTTTTTTTTTTTGGAAGAGGGGGCAGGCAGGTCACCTGATGAAAAGTTATTTTCATTTGTCTAAGCGAACTTCACTTCTTCTATAAGCATTAGGTATTCCTAATTTTACATTTGTTAATAGGAGTACTAAGGATTATCTTTACGTAGGTATAATTTTATAGTCAATGCGTATTATATTTACATTTATAAACATTTTTTTCACTACACATACGACATCATATTTAAGTAAAACCTGTGTGCGGGTGACTCTATGGGTAGTCAATATGATAAAAAAAAATTATATAATATATTGATTCACATAAAATGATGATTAAGTTTTTTTTTATATTGAATCTACTAATGGCCTTATTAAAATTAATTATCATTAATCACAGGTAGGCCGTATGTAAATGATTTTACTGGGAGGGTTTCAAATCTTAACTCTGCCCGCGTCTTGCATCAAATCAGATAACAATATATTTAAAGTCGTACATATGTTATATTCTAAAATGTCTTTCATCTTTTATATCATTTTATTTATTTGTTTATTAGTTTACCAGTATATACAAAATAGAACATAGTATCAACATTACACATGCATGTAATCCAATATAGCTTAGAAAATGACTATTGATAAAGGTGGTTAAAAAAGATAGACAACAAATGTCACAAAACCTGTAACTTAGTACCTGTCTCTAAATAAGACAACAATTGGTACACAGCTAATCGACAGTAAGATTATGGAGTCGGCTCTTAAATCGTTGAAATGTTGTGTCAAAAATATCTACCTGTTTACTGTAGTGATTGTATTTATTACTTAACCGTAAAATAGGCGCGTTGTCGTGTGATAATATCTTTCACCATCATCCGACTAAACGATTTACAGTAATCATTAAACATGACTCTCGTTTTCAATATTAAGCATCGGTAATTAATGCGATACGCGATTATGATGCCACTTATCACCATCATCGTTATCATCTGCCCACCCTTATCCCAATATTATTTGGGGGCGACGCGGTGTTTGGTTTATTCTGCTATTCTGCTCTATCATTCGTCATTTCACTGTTTACTTCCTTCCTAGCTATATCCTCTCTCACACAGTCCAACCTCCTTTACTTTGGTCTTCCTCTTCTCTTGTGCCCATAACTAACACTTTTCTCGCCACATTTTCCTTATGACTCTGCATGACATGTCTGTACCAAAATAGCCGATTACTTTTCATCCAGTAGCGCTACTTTCAGACTCCCTCGTATATACTCCTGACTTTTGTCCATTCGAGTCACACCACACATCCGTGCTTATGGAGACAAAGTTTTTTTTGTTAAAATAACTTATTAAAACAACCTTTTCGATAGGTTTAATGTGAGTTAAGGTACCTTTTCAAACAGCAGAATCTCTGATAACGTATAATTAAAAAAAAAACAGTGATTGTAAAACTTTTTACCCGTCATGAGGAAAGGAGTACAGTGCCTTGAAGGAGTAATGGTATACCATTTATCTTAAGCATTAAGAGTAAAATAGTAAGTAACAATACAAAGTACTGTATAGATTGCGAAGCACAGCTAAAAAATGTATAAAAAAGGTCGTAAACAAACTTAAAAGCATGTAACATATAACTCGTATTACTAATTCCCGATATACACCAATGTAAACCCGATTTGAATAAATAGGTGGTTTTATGGGATGGGTGGGTTAACGCGTAGACGGTTCACTTGATGGTAAGTAACAACCGCTGGGCTGCCCATGAACACTTGCAACTTAAGAGTTACAAGAGAGTTACCGCCCTTTGAGTGCTCCCCCCAGAATCCCCCAAAGGTAGGAGAGCTTATGACTCCGGTAACCTTAATCAATCAATTTATTTAATGTTTCTCACTCATCATCATCATTATCAACAGCATTTAATAGTCCACTGCTGTACATAGGCTTCTCCATAGAAAGAAGAGTGGCCTACTATAGCACGCTGGCCAGATGGGTTGGTATAGGGTTTATTTCAAGTTTTTCTTCTCTTTGCAGTACTGTTGTCCTGTAGAGTTTATTTATTTATTCTAATAAGTACGGTAAAACCACATTGTATATTTTACACATTTGGCATAATATTCAGTTGTTGATAAATATTCTGCTACATACAACCATTATGATGTACATAACATTCATAACGATATCTGAACTGAGAGAAAATATAGATCAATAGAACAGTTATTAAAAACTTTATTTAAAAAGAAACAGTAAAAATAGCATTAATAGTAAAAAATAATATGTGATAACAATTAAATATAATCACTAATCTCAAAAATTTAAATAAAAAGAATATAAATGGCTTCTACAGACTACTACAACTAAGCAGTAACTTTGATTTTAAACTGGTTAAGCGGACTTGGAAAATGTCGAGATCATTATTATTGATAACTTTATTATTGTAATTGCAGCAAATTCGTGTCAAAGGTGATTGTAAGCCAAGGTTTGTTCTGCATACTGGTGTATGAAAATAACTTGGAGTATTGGATACGGATAATGAAGTCTTTCCGAAAAATCCATTACATCTAACTGACCGTTAACTACCCAATGTAAAAAGCAAACATAGAACATTTTTTACCAGTGGTGTAAGCTATTCATTTGAAATTCAGCAAGGTGATGGTTATAGGAGTTCCTGTGTGAGGAACCCCTGGCCCGAATAGCAAGATATCTAGTGAATGTCGTTTGAATGGTTACTATGCGTTGTGAGTGAATACTATAAAAAGGATACTATACACCCAAGGCAAACTCGAGTCAACTGCGTACTAGGACGTTGTAGAAAATTACGCTGGTTGGGTACTTAGCAAAATTCCTTATTATTTCTTCTTATGAACCCGGGCTTATGAACTGTGCTGCCTTTTTAGCGATTACGTCGATATGAGTGTGACACTTTAGCTGACTATCGAGTACCACACCAAGGTCGCGGATTTCGTGAACGCCATCTGTTTAATACTTAGTAGCAAGTGGTTTCTTTTCCTGCAATATTTTATGAGGAAAATTTCTTCTTCGCATTACGAGCCATACGGTTGCTACTAAATAGTGCCCTAATACTATATTTTGCTCCCTCTTACGACACCTACGGGGTGAATAGTGGCACCACACGAACAAAACTTCACTCACTCCGTGAAAAGCAACAACAGAATTACTTAACACTGATATTCTCTGAGGCCATGGTAAGTATCACTGCGAGCCGGCTCATTTGTACCGAAGCTAGGCTCTCCCACGAGATAAAGATGAAAAAAATTATAAATTTTTTACAGCCTGATCTCCGGACAGAGAGAGGTATAACTTGATTTTTTGGAGTGTTTCAGATTCATAGCTTATTCCATATTAGATGGACGTACTGCCTAAAGTATTAATTACCAGTCAACTGTGAAATCTTGAATAATGTACCTTTATAACATAAATATTTAATGATTTAATATCCAGTCAATACACAAATAAAACTTATACATTAACATGGGTTATAAGTTTTACATATTTTAATAAAAAATAAATATTATTAATGCGTCGATTTTTCGAAAATCTAACGTTTTGAGCTTCCCGATTAGCGTTTGAATATCAAATGCATACTACTATACTAGAAGCATAGCACAGAATGCAATGCGTAGTGTGGAAGA